TGGGTGGATCACCAGGGACAGGTACCGGGGGACACACACACACATACATACATACATACATACATATATACATACATACAGCGGGGATAACGGGAACACAGCAGGGATAACGGGAACACAGCGGGGATAACGGGAACACAGCGGGGATAACGGGAACACAGCGGGGATAACGGGAGTAACAGGGACCATGCACCCGAGAGTACTTCTATTGGGTGGATCGCCAGGGACAGGTACCGGGGGACACACGGGGATATACATATACATGTATACATACATACAGCGGGGATAACGGGAACACAGCGGGGATAACGGGAACACAGCGGGGATAACGGGGATCGGGAACACGAGAGTTTTTTGGGTGGATAACCGGGAAGGTAACGGGGGGGGGGGGGGGGGGAAACACACACACATTTACATACATACAGCGGGGATAACAGGAACACAGCGGGGATACAGCGGGGATAACGGGGATACACAGCAGGGATAGCAGGGATAACGGGGATACACAGCACGGATAACGGGAACACAGCGGGGATAACGGGGATAATGGGAACACACAGTGGGGATAATGGGGATAACAGGGATAAAAGGAACACAACGGGGATAACAGGAACACACAGCAGGGATAACGGGGATAACAGGAACACACAGCAGGGATAACAGGGATAAGGGGGATAACGGGAACACAGCAGGGATAACAGGGATAAGGGGGATAACAGGAACACAACAGGGATAAGGGGGATAACGGGAACACAGCAGGGATAATGGGAACACACAGCAGGGATAAGGGGGATAACGGGAACACAGCGGGGATAACAGGAACACAGAGCAGGGATAACGGGAACACACAGCAGGGATAACGGTGGTAATGGGGATAACGGGAACACAACGGGGATAACAGGGATCGCACACCCGCAGAGAACTTCTATTGGGTGGATCACCAGGGACAGGTACTGGGGGGGACACGTACATAGGGCGGGGATAACGGGGATACACAGTGGGAATAACAGGAATAATGGGGATAACGGGGATACAGCGGGGATAATGGGGATAACAGGAATACACAGGGGGGATAATGGTAACAACGGGAATACACAGCAGGGATAACGGGAACACCAGGAATAGGGGGGCACCAGGAACAGAGAGAACACCAGGAACGGGGGAAGAACGGGAACAAAATGAGCACCAGGAACAGGGAGGACAACGGGAATTATGGGAACAGGAACAGGGGGGACAACGGGAGCAAGAGGGACACCGGGACATTGGGAACACCAGGAATAGGGAGAACAGGGGGGCACTGGGAACAGGGGGGATACCAGGACACCGGGAACAACAGGAACAGGGCGAGCACCAGGAACAGAGGGAAGACTGGGAATAGGTGGGCACCGGGAACAGAGGGAACAGGAACAGGGGCAGCACCAGGAACACTGGGAACAGAGGGAAAACCGGGAACACCAGGAACAGGGGGGCATCAGAACACCGGGAACATGGGGGGGTGTTCTTGGGAGGGGGGAGAAACAACACCAGATCCACACCGGATCCCGGTTGGATCCCAAACGGGCCCTAAATGGATCCCAAAGGGACAGTAACAGCCTTGGGACGCTGGGGATAGGGTGGCTCCTGGAGAGATCCCAGAGGGATGCCAGCGGGATCCCAGGCAGATCTTGGATGGATCCCAACCAGGATCCATGTGGATCCAAGGCCGATCCCAGTGGGATCCTGGGCAGGCTGCTGGGGACACTTTGGGATTTGGGGGCTTTTTCCTGCTTTTCCAACAGCTTTTCCTGGATGACACCAAAGTGAAGAATTTCATCACCTGCTTCAAAGGTACCGGGGCCCAAAACCACCCCAAAAGGAGCCCTTCCCTGGGATTGATCCTTAACTGGGATCGCAGCCTTGGTTGGGATCCAATCCCGAATCGGGATCCAATACTTGACTGGGATCTGATCACCAATCAGGATCTCATCCGTGAGATCTGATCCTTGATGAAGATCCAACCCTTAACTGGGATCCAATCCTCAATTGGGATCTCATCCGTATTGGGAGTATTCAATTGGGATCCAATCCTTGGGATCCGATCCTGAATCAGGATCCAATACTTGACTGGGATCTGATCCTCAATCAGGATCTCATCCGTGAGCCCTGATCCTTAATGAAGATCCAACCCTTAACTGGGATGGATCCTTAGTAAGGATCTGATCCTTAACTGGGATGCAATCCTCGATTGGGATCTCATCCATATTGGGAGTATTCAATTGGGATCCAATCCTTGGGATCCGATCCTGAATCGGGATCTTATCCATGAGATCTGATCCTTAATGAAGATCCAATCCTTAACTGGGATGCAGTCCTTAACTGGGATCTCATCCATACTGGGAGTATTCAATTGGGATCCAATCCTTGGGATCCAATCCCGAATCAGGATCCAATCCTTACGATTCCATCCTTACTTGGGAGCCTACCTTTAATAAGGAACCCATCCTTATTTGGGATCTAACCTCAAAGTGGGATCTGATCCTTGAAATCCAATTGTTAAATTGGGATCTCATCCTTAACGGGGACGCAATCCTAGAGACCGGATCCTTAACCAGGATTCCAGCCTTAATCAGGATCTGATCCTTAATTGGGATCTCACCCTAAACCCGGATCTCACCCTTAACTGCGATCCCAGCCTTAATGGGAATCTCATCCTTAACTGGGAGCTGATCCTTAAAATCCGGCTGCTACCATCAGTTGGGATCTCATCCTTGAGCTCCAATAACCAGGATCCCATCCATCCTTTATCAGGATCTCATCCTTCAATTGGGATCCCATCCCATGGGAGCAGGTGGGGGGTGGGATCAGCCATCCCTATTTGCATACCCCTTCCCTCCCTCCATCCCCATCACTTCCCATTGGCGCTTCCATCCCTTCTCCCATCAACATCCCAACCTGGAAGAGCCGCATTTAACACCCCCTCCCCATCACTCTCATCCCTGTATCCCAATCCCGGCAGATGTGGCGTTCCTGAGCTTCTTCTTCAAGCACCTGGAGCACAACCGGAGCGGGCGCTACGAGGCGGAATTCCCGTTCCTATCCCGCTGCGGCCGGGAGCGGAATTTCCTCCGCTGTGAGGATCTCCCCATTGTCTTTACCCACCTCCTACCGGGAGATTCCCGGCTCCTGTCCTACTGCGGCGGTGGCGAGCGCTTGGCGGTGCCGTTCCAACCGGAGAAGCTGACGGTATTCCCGGAAAACGGGCGGCTCTATCATCCGGCGCCCCCGAAATCCGGTGGCGTGGGGCTGGTGCGCTCGGCGCTGGCTTGGGAATGGAGCTCCTGCTTCCAATATGAGCATGGGCAGGAGCAGCCCCCAACGCACTTCCTATGGGAAGGCCGCAGTTACCGGCTCACCGGGGAGCTGCTGCCGTTGCTCCGTGCGGGAAGCGCCAAGGAATCATTGGATATTCCCATCTCCACTCAATAGAGTTGAGCCGTGATTCCCAGTGTTCCCATCAGAGCCCAAACCCCAACCACCACCACTAAAGAAGCTTAAACCAGGAGCACGGAGCTGATTCCTAATGGGAATTCGGGATGTTGGGAATGGGGACCTGGAAAGGGGGGGTTATGGGGGAGAGGGATAATAAAAGGCGCCGCGGTGGCGGGTTCTTTGCCGTGAGCCCTTCCAAAGCAGTGGGATTTATTCAGGAATTCCTTGTGTTAATGAACCTGGATAACGGGGAATGGCAGCACCAGAGCTGTGGTGGTGGCGGTGGTGGGAGGAGTGGGGAGCAAGTGGCTAAAGAGCTCCAAACCAAGGAGAAAAGGTGCCAAAAAGGCACCAAAACAAGGGGGGAACCCTCATGGAGATGCCCAAAAAGCTCCAAAACGATGAGAAAACCTGGAAAAGGTGCCAAAGAGGCACCAAAACGAGGGGAAAACTTAGAAAGGGTGCCAAAGAGGCACCAAAACGAGGGGAAAACCTCATGGAGATGCCCAAAAAGCTGCAAAACGAGGAGAAAACTTAGAGAAGGTGCCAAAGAGGCACCAAAACGAGGGAAAAACCTCAGGGAGATGCCCAAAAAGCTCCAAAACAAGGGGAAAACCTCAGGGAAAAGGTGCTAAAGCAGCACCCAACAAGGAGAAACCACAGGGAGATGGCAAAGTGGCACCAAAACGAGGAGAAAAGCTCAGGAGGAGGTGCCAAAGAAGCACCAGAACATGGAGAAAACCCCAGGGAGATGCCAAAAAAACACCAAAACAAGGGGGAAACCTCAGGGAGAAGGTGCCAAAGTGGCACCAAACTGAGAAGAAAATTCAGGTAAATGCCAAAAACCACCAAAACAAGGAGCAACCTGAGGTAGATGGCAAAAAGGCTCCAAAACATAGAGAAAACCTTAGGGAGAAGGTGCCAAAGTGGCACCAAACCAAGGAGAAACTGCAGGGAGATGGCAAAGTGGCACCAAAATGAGGAGAAAACCTCATGGAGAAGGTGCCAAAGTGGCACCAAAACGAAGGGAGATGCCAAAAACCACCAAAACAAGGAGAAAACAGGTGAAAAGTGCCAAAAAGGCACCAAAATGAGAACAACCTAAAGCAGAAGGTGCCAAAAGAGCTCCAAAACAAGGAGAAAACCCTGTTGAGATGCCAACCAAGCTCCCAAACAAGGAGATAACCTGGAGAAGGTGCCAAACACCCCCCAAAAACCAAGGAGGAACCTCAGACAGATGCCCAAAACCACCAAAACAAGGAGAAAACAGGGCGAAAAGTGCCAAAGAGGCACCAAAACGAGAGGAAACCTCAAGCAGAAGGTGCCAAAAGAGCTCCAAAACAAGGAGAAAACCCTCTTGAGATGCCAACCAAGCTCCCAAACAAGGAGATAACCTGGAGAACATGCCAAACACCCCCAGAAAACCAAGGAGGAACCTGTGGTAGATGCCAAAAGCTCCAAAAACCAGCAGCAGCCCCAATTTTGGCCTTGAACCACGGTCTGGTTGTGCCATCAGCGAGGCCACCGCGGTGTCACCAGCGCTGCGGGGTGGGCTGAAGCTCTGCCAAGGTGAAGTAGTCGAGGGTGCCGTGGCGGCAGAGGTTGGCGGTCCACGTGGCGTTGTCCCTGCCGGCGCTCGCCAGCATGCGGCAGAGCTCGGCGCTGACAGCGGTGAAGCGCTCCTCATCCAGAGCATCCTCGGGCATCCCAATGGATGCTACTGGTGGCTGTGGTGTGTCCCATCTGTAGCAGTCCACGGGGTATGGGTAGACCACGAGGCAGAGGTCCTGCAGGACGGAGGTTCGCTGGAGCAAGGTCTTGAGGCCCGTTGTGGACAAGGGGTTGCCAAAGAGGCCCAAGCATCGGAGGAGGGAGCAACGGCACAGAGAGGGGAGAAGGGCTTCCAAGCGGGAGTCGGTGAGTTGGCATTCCATGAGGTCCAGGTGCAGGAGGGAGGAGGAGTTCTCCAAGAGGGAGCAGAGAGGTTGGAGAAGGCTCTCGGTGAAGGGGTGGCCGCTCAAGTCCAGCTTCTTCAGGGCTGGAGCATGGATGCTTTGGGAGAGGAAGGTGAGGTCGCCGGGAAGGAGGTAGCAGAAGGCCAGTTCCAGGCTTTCCAGAGGAGCTTCCAGGTTCCTGGTGGGGAGAGGGAGAAGGAGCCATGAGGACACCAAAGGCACCGGGATTGTCGATCAGTGGAGTGGGGATGGTTCCCAAAGCAAAACACATTGTGGGGGGCTTCTCCTCATGCAGCACCCACAAGTCCTTCTTCTCAGGGCTGCTCCATCCATCCCATCCATCCATCCATCCAACCATCCCATCCGAACCTCCATCCATCTGTCCATCAGCCAGCCATCCCACCCATCTATCCATCCATCCTCCATTCAGTCATGCTCTATCCATCCATCATCCATCCATCCATCATCCATCCATCCACCATCCATCAATCCATCCATCCATCATCCGTCTATCCATCACCAACCCATCTATCCATCCATCACCCATCAGTCCCATCCATCCATCATCCGTCATCCATCCAGCCATCTATCCATCACCCATCAATCCCATCCACCCATCCATCCATCATTCGTCTATCCATCATCTGTCTATCCGTCTATCCATCATCCATGTATCCATCATCCATCCATCCATTATCCATCTATCCATCAGCCATCTATCCATCCATCACCCTTCAATCCCACCCATCCATCCATCATCCGTCTATCCATCAGCTATTCACCTATCCATCATCCATCAATCCCACCCATCCATCCATCCATCATCCGTCTACCCATCATCTGTCTATCCATCATCCATCCTCCATCCAGTCATGCCCTATCCATCCATCATCCATCCATCCATCCATCATCCATCTATCCATCATCCATCCATCTATCCATCATCCATCCATCTATCCATCCATTATCCATCTATCCATCAGCCATCCATCTATCCATCCATCACCCTTCACTCCCACCCATCAATCCATCATTTGTCTATCCATCAGCTATTCACCTATCCATCATCCATCAATCCCACCCATCCATCCATCATCCATCCATCCATCCATCATCTGTCTATCATCCATCCATCTATCCATCCATCCTCCATCCTGTCATGCTCTATCCATCCATCATCCATCCATCCATCCATCCATCATCTGTCTATCCATCAGCCATCCACCTATCCATCCATCATCCATCCATGCTCCATCCATCCATCCATCATCCACCCTATCCATCATCCATCCCATCCATCACCCATCCATCCCATTCCATTTACGGGACCACCCATCCCACCTCCACACCCCACTGAACCCCCTGATACCCACACCCTCTCCCCCCTCCCCGCATCCCTCCGGACCCCATCTCCCCCTTGGAACCGCACCGCAGCAGCTGCCTGAGCTTCCCGGACAACCTCGACGATCCCAAATTGAGCTCCCGGAGCGCCCGGAGCTTCCCGAGGTGCGTGGAAAGGCGCCGGAACCCGGCATCGGCTCCGGCCGCGTGGTGCCGCACGTCCACGTTGCTGTAGGGCAGCTTGAGGCTGAGCAGATCCTGGAACCGGCTGAGCCGCGGCACCACGGTGCAGAGCCCGGCCAGCCCCAGGTTGTTGAAGCGCAGCTCCACGCGGCGCACGCCGCCGGCATCCAGGCATTCCAACAGCGCCACGATCCCGCTCGCCGACAGCTCCTCGGTGTGGAGATCCCGGCAGCGGAGCCGCAGCGCGGTGCCCCCGGCCAGCAGAGCATCCCGGAGCACGCCGCAGGACGTGCTGTTGACGAAGAGGTCGGCGCGGATCTCCACGCCCATGGGATGGGGTGGGGAGGAGCTTCCCGAGGGATGGCGTTTCTGCACTTCCCTTTGGTGTTTGGCCACCTCGAGGCAAGCTTTGGCCAATGCCACTGTGCCGGACCACAGGCTCAGCCCTTCCGGCCCGCGGTCGCTGGGGCTGTCGTGGTCCTGGAGCCCGGTCATGTCCAACACCCGCAGGTGGCACTGTCTGGAGATGGGGAGACAGGGAATGGGGTTGGAAAGGAGGGAATGGGGAGAGCTCCCGGCCCTGAAGGGGGTGGTGAGGCCCAAAGGGGTGGATGCTCCATCCCTGGAAGCGGTCAAGGCTCCACGGAGACTTTGGAGCAGGTCCAGTGCCTAAAGGGGCTCCAGGAAACCTGGATTGGGGCTTTGGATGAGGGATGGGATGAGGAGGAATGGCTCCAGCTGGAAGAGGGAAGAGTTGGATGGGACCTTGGGATGACGTTCATCCCCATGAGGGTGCTGGGACACTGGAAGAGGTTGAATGGAGAGGCTCTGATCCAGGCCAGGTTAGACAGGGCTTGGAGCAATGGGGCTTTGGACAAGGGATGAGGAGGAACAGCTCCAACTGGAAGAGGGAAGAGTTGAATGGGACCTTGGGATGAAGTTCATCCCCATGAGGGTGCTCGGATACTGGAAGGGGTTGAATGGAGAAGCGCTGGATCACTGGAACTGATCCAGGCCAGGCTGGATGGGGCTTGGAGCAATGGGGCTTTGGACAAGGGATGGAGGGATGGGATGAGGAGGAATGGCTCCAACTGGAAGAGGGAAGAGCTGGATGGGACCTTGGGATGAAGTTCTTCTCCATGAGGGTGGTGGGACACTGGAAAGGGTTGAATAGAGAAGCACTGGATCACTGGAACTGATCCAGGCTAGGTTGTACGGGCTTGGAGCAATGGGGCTTTGGACAAGAGATGAGGAGGAACAGCTCCAACTGGAAGAGGAAAGAGTTGGATGGGACCTTGGGATGAAGTTCTTCTCCCTGAGGGTGGTGGGACACTGGAAAGGGTTGAATAGAGAAGCGCTGGATCACTGGAACTGATCCAGGCCAGGTTGGATGGGGCTTGGAGCAATGGGGCTTTGGAGAAGGGATGAGGGATGGGATGAGGAGGAATGGCTCCAATCGGAAGAGGGAAGAGTTGAATGGGACCTTGGGGTAACGTTCATCCCCATGAGGGTGCTGAGATACTGGAAGGGGTTGAATGGAAAAGCTCTGATCCAGGCCAGGTTAGACAGGGCTTGGAGCAATGGGGCTTTGGAGAAGGGATGGAGGGATGGGATGAGGAGGAATGGCTCCAGCTGGAAGGAGGAAGAGTTGGATGGGACCTTGGGATGAAGTTCTCCTCCATGAGGGTGCTGGGACACTGGAAGGGGTTGAATGGAGAAGCACTGGATCACTGGAACTGATCCAGGCCAGGTTGGACGGGGCTTGGAGCAATGGGGCTTTGGAGAAGGGATGGAGGGATGGGATGAGGAGGAAAGGCTCCAGCTGGAAGAGGGAAGAGCTGGATGGGACCTTGGGATAAAGTTAATCCCCATGAGGGTGGTGGGATACTGGAAGGGGTTGAATGAAGGATCACCGGACCCAATTGGCCAGGTCTTGGAGCACCCTGCTCTAACACAAGGTGCTCCCATGGAACTGGACGCTCTTCAAGATCCCTTCCAACCCAAACCATTCCATGCCTCCCATCACGCTCACAGTCCACCATTGACCACCACCACCACCCCATGGAACCAGAGCCCCAGGGCACCCCCATACCTGGGCCCTTGCTGTGCCTCCTCCAGCGCCCTCCGTACGGTGGCCACCACGGCGGCGAGCACGGCCTGGACGCAGAGCTTGTCGGGGGGCGCGCGGTGGGCGCGGTGCCGGGGGTGCCTGCAGCGGCCCAGCAGGCACCGGAAGCTGAGCACGGGGAAGGGCCAGGAGGTGACCAGGTCCTGCAGGGCGAGCGCGCGGCCGTCCAGGAAGGCCGCGTGGAACAGGACGGGGTAGAGCTCGGAGGGAAGGAAGGGCAGAGCGCGGCGGGCGTCGGGCCGGTGGCCGAGCAGGCGGCGGGCGCACAGGAGGACGAGGCTGTGCATGGTGCTGTGGGGCTGGACCCACAGGGGGTGCCCCCACACACACAGAGACAGGGGGGACCTGGGGAAAGAGGCAAAAGGAAGGCTGTGGTGGGAGATGTAATGTGAAACCACACACACATCAATGGGGCGGCCTGATGCATCCCTAATGGAGACCTGTCAGCAGTGGGGCAACACTAAACCAGGCCTATCGTCAATGGGGCACCACTAAACCAGGCCTATCATCTATAGGGCATCACTAAACCAGGACTACCGTCAATGGGGCACCACTAAATCAGGCCTATCGTCAATGGGGCACCACTAAACCAGGCCTATCGTCAATGGGGCACCACTAAACCAGGCCTATCGTCAATGGGGCACCACTAAACCAGGCCTGTCATCTATGGGGCACCACTAAAGCAGACCCGTCATCTATGGGGCATCACTTAAGTAGGCCTATCATCAATGGGGCACCACTAAACAAGGCCTATCATCAATGGGGCATCACTAAACCAGGCCTATCATCAATGGGGCACCACTAAACCAGGCCTATCATCAATGGGGCACCACTAAACTAGGCCTATCATCAATGGGGCACCACTAAACTAGGCCTATCATCAATGGGGCACCACTAAACCAGGCCTATCATCTATGGGGCACCACTAAACTAGGCCTATCATCAATGGGGCACCACTAAACTAGGCCTATCATCAATGGGGCACCACTAAACCAGGCCTATCGTCAATGGGGCACCACTAAACCAGACCCATTCATCAATGGGGCACCACTAAACCAGGCCTATCATCAATGGGGCACCCCTAACCCAGCCCCCCATCAATGGGGCACCCCACTGCATCCCTGTGCCCCATCACAGAGCCCCCCCCAGCACCCCTAAACCAGACCCCACTAAAAGGGCACCCACAGCACCCATCCCATTGGCCAAAACACAGCCCCATCCCCCCCCCGAGACCATCACCCCCAATGCAACCCCATTAAAAGGGCACCCCCAACACCCCCAAACCAGCCCCATCCCATAGAGGACCCCCTAAACCAGGCCCCCACCACCACTATGGAACCCCTAAACCAGGCCCCCCCCACTATGGGATGCCCTAAACCAGCCCCCCCCCATGTGGGACCCCCTACACTATGGGACCCCCCACTATGGGACCCCCTAACCCAGGCTCCCCCCCACTATGGGACCCCCAAACCCCCCCCCCCACTATGGGAACCCCCAAACCCACCCCCCCCCACTATGGAACCCTTAAACCAGGCCTCCCCCCGCGATGGGACCTCCCCTAAGCTAGGCCACACACACACAATGGGACCCCCTAATCCAGGCCCCCCCACTATGGAACCCCTAAACCAGGGCCCACCCCCACTATGGACCCCCCAAACCAGCCCCCCCCACTATGAGACCCCCAAACCCACCCCCCCCATACGGGACCCCCAAACCAGGCCCCCCCGACCCCAGGACCCCCCCAAAATGGCGCCGCCCGCACCCTCTCACCGCCGCTCTCCCCACACTTCTCCTCTTCCGCGCCGACGCCGGGCTCCACCAATCAGAGCGAGACATCCGCCAGAAAAGGCGGGACCAACGGCCGCAACGACCGCCCTTCTCCCACCCCATTGGCTCTTGTCGCTGTCTGTCATCGCTTCCTCGCTTCCCATTGGATGAGCACTGGCGGGAGACGGAGGTTCGAGCTGCCGCTGCTGTGAGGAACGGGGGGCTCCGGGCGGCCGCGTCTGACCCGGACCGGGACCCCCAACCCGGGACCCCCAAAACTGGGACCCCCAAAACCGGGACCCCCAAAACCGGGACCCCCAACCCCGGACCCCCAGGCCCGGCCTCGGACCCGGGACCCCGGACCCCATCCCCACTCCCCATGGAGGAGCGGCTGCGGGAGGTGAAGGCGCTGCTGAAGCGATGGGAAGCGGAGTTCGTGCGGGAGCGGCAGAGGAAGCCCGAGCAGGTACCGGGATGGAGGGGGGATGGAGGGGTAACGGATAATGGGTAATGGATAATGGATCGGTAATGGATCGATAATGGGTAATGGATCGGTAATGGATAACGAATGGGTAATGGGTAGTGGATAACGGATGGGTAATGGGTAATGGATGGGTAATGGATAACGGATGGGTAATGGATGGATAATGGATGAGTAATGGATAACGGATGGATAATGGATGGGTAATGGATCAGTAATGGATGAGTAATGGATCTATAATGGATAATGGATCAGTAATGGATGAGTAATAGATCGGTAATGGATAATGGATGGGTATTGGATGGGTAATGGATAATGGATGGGTAATGGGTCGATAATGAATAATGGATGGGTAATGGATTGGTAATGGATAATGAATGGGTATTGGATGGGTAATGGACAATGGATGGGTAATGGATAATGGATGGGTAACGGATGGGTAATGGATGGATAAGGGATGAGTAATGGATAACGGATGGGTAATGGATGGGTAATGGATAATGGATGGGTAATGGATGGATGATGGGTAATGGATGGATGATGGGTAATGGATTGATAATGGATAATGGATTGGTAATGGATGGGTAATGGATCGGTAATGGATAATGGATGGATATTGAATGGTTAATGGATAATGGGTGGATAACGGATGGGTAATGGATGGATAACAGAAGATAAATGGATAACGGATGGGTAATGGATAGTGAGTAATGGATAATGGATGGGTAATGGATAATGGGTAATGGATGGGTAATGGATAATGGATGGGTAATGGATGAGTAATGGATAATGGATGAGTAATGGATCAGTAATGGATCGGTAATGGATTGGTAATGGATATTGGATGTGTAATGGATGGATGATGGGTAATGGATGGGTAATGGATGGATGATGGATAATGGATGGGCAATGTATGGATAATGGATCAATAATGGATCGGTAATGGATAATGGATGGGTAATGGATGAGTAACGGATAATGGATGAGTAATGGATCAGTAATGGATCGGTAATGGATTGGTAATGGATATTGGATGTGTAATGGATGGATGATGGGTAATGGATGGGTAATGGATGGATGATGGATAATGGATGGGCAATGGATGGATAATGGATCGATAATGGATCGGTAATGGATAATGGATGGGTAATGGATGGATAATGGATCGATAATGGATGAATGATGGATAATGGATAGGTAATGGATAATGGATGGATAACAGATCAATAATGGATGGATAATGGATAGGTAATGTATGGATAATGGATCGATAATGAATAGTGGATCGATAATGGATGGTTGATGGATAATGGATGGGTAATAGATGGATAATGGATCAATAATGGATCAGTAATGGACAGTGGATGATTTCTAACAGATGGATAACAGATGGATAATGAATCGATAATGGATGATGGATAATAGGTGGATAATGGATGGATAATAGATGGATGATGGATCAGTAATGGATCGATAATGGACAGATAATGGATGGATGCATGGATGGATGATGGATGGATAGTGGATAGATAATGGATGGATGGATGGATGGATGGATGGATGGATGGTTAATGGATGGATGAATGAATGGATGGATAATGGATGGATGAATGGATGGATGGATGGATGGATGGATGGATGGATAATGGATGGATGAATGGATGGATGGATAATGGATGGATGGATGGATGGATGGATAATGGATGGATGAATGGATGGATGGATGGATGGATGGATGGATAATGGATGGATGGATGGATGGATGGATGGATAATGGATGGATGAATGGATGGATGGTTAATGGATGGATGAATGGATGGATGGATGGATGGATGGATGGATGGATGGATGGATAATGGATGGATGGATGGATGGATGGATAATGGATGGATGAATGGATGGATGGATGGATGGATGGATGGATAATGGATGGATGGATAATGGATGGATGAATGGATGGATGGATGGATGGATGGATGGATGGATGGATAATGGATGGATGAATGGATGGATGGATAATGGATGGATGGATGGATGGATAATGGATGGATGAATGGATGGATGGATGGATGGATGGATGGATAATGGATGGATGGATGGATGGATGGATGGATAATGGATGGATGGATGGATGGATGGATAATGGATGGATGAATGGATGGATGGATGGATGGATGGATAATGGATGGATGGATAATGGATGGATGAATGGATGGATGGATAATGGATGGATGGATGGATGGATGGATGGATGGATAATGGATGGATGAATGGATGGATGGATGAATGGATGGATGGATAATGGATGAATGAATGGATGGATGCATGGATGGATGATGGATGAGTGGGTGGATGGATGGATGGATGGATGGATAATGGATGGATGAATGGATGGATGGATGAATGGATGGATGGATAATGGATGAATGAATGGATGGATGCATGGATGGATGATGGATGAGTGGGTGGATGAATGGATGGATGATAGATGGATGATAGAGGGATGGATGGATGACGGATGGATGGATGCATGGATGGATAATGGATGATGGATGGATGGATAATAGCTGGATGATGGGTGGATGTGGAGAGGATCCACAGAGGACAACGGGGGGGAGGGGGAAGGAGGGATCAGGGCTGGAGCACTCTGCTCTGATGGAACTGTCCCTGCCCACATCAAGGGTTGGAGCTGAACAAGCTTTAAGATCCTTTCATCCCAAAGCATTCCATGAGGAATCCCTGTAAGTTACATCGTGCACATCCCTATCTGTGATGGGGAAGGGCTGAGGGACCTGGGGGGTTCAGTCTGGAGCAGAGAAGGCTCAGGGGGGACCTGATGGCTCCCTACAAGTGCCTGAGAGGAGGATGGAGCCAGGAGGGGCTGGGCTCTGCTCCCAAGGAACAAGGCATGGACTGGATGAGCTTAAAGCTCTTTTCGAACCTCATTGGTTCCATGAAATCGCAGGAGAACGGAGATCCCAGGGTCAGGAATGGGCATACCACCCCTCAAATCCCATTCTATACAACCATGGAACGGTTTGGGATGGAAAGGACCTTAAAGCTCCTCCAGTTCCAACCCCACCTTCCATTTGCTCCAAGCCCCTGTTTCCAACCTGGATTCTCACTTAAAACGGGACCAGTGCATTCCATGCATTCCAATGGTGATTCCGGATGTGTTTCCATTGCAGGCCGACATCCAGGCAGCTCCGGAGGACACCAGGAGTGAGTGAGACCTCTTGGGGTCCTCGGTGCTTGTGGGGTCCCCGTGTGGGTGCTGCATGGGTGCGGGTGCCCAAATGGATCCTGGAGGAGTGAAGGCTCCTGAAGGGGAGACCTTGGAGCAGCTCCAGTGCCTAAAGGGGATGCAGGGAGCATGGATTGGGGCTTGGGACAAGGGATGCAGGGATGGGATCTTGGGATGAAGTTCATCCCCATGAGGGTGCTGGGACACTGGGAAGGGTTTGAAGGGAGAAGTTTGGGATGCTCCATCCCTGGCCATCAGAATCCCATTGGATCTTTCCACGTTGCTGCCTCCAATCCCTGCTGGGGTTCAAAGGCAGCAGCTGGGACCTGGGACCCCCCCCCTCAACCAGGAGCTTGGGGTTCCTGGATCAAACCCATCCCAGCATCATCCCGAGCTGCCCAAAGCCCGGTTCGATCCCTCTGGGATGAAGGAAACCATTCCACGTCCCCATGGGCTCATCCCAAAGCCAGGGCCTCACCAGAGAGCTCTGGGCAGAAGCTGTTGGTCCTCCGAGCCACCTCCTCCAACGTGGGCAATGGAGCTTCCTCCTCCTCCTCTTCCTCCGGAGCAGGGCCGCTCTTCTCCACCTCTTTGGCAGCTCCTGCTGGGAACGGGGCCTTTCCTTTACTTACTTCCATGGGAAGCAGCAGCCTCATGGTTCCCCCCCCTTCCAGAAGTTATCCCTAAAAACCCTTAAGGAAAGAGGGGAGAGAAGCCCCAAGGGAGGAGGGAATCCGAGCCTGGCCCATGGATGTGCCAAGCCGATCCCATAATCCAGCATCCAGAGCCAACCCTCAGCAAGGGTGGCAGAGCCTGGAAAGGAGAAGCTCCAGGAGCCCTTAGAGCAGCTCCCAGTGCCTAAAGGGGAGAGGGGCTTGGGACAAGGGATGGAGGGATGGGAGGAGGAGGAACGGGTTTCAATGGGAGAGGGAGGAGTTAGATGGGATCTTGGGAAGTTCTTCATGGTGAGGGTGGTGGGACACGGGAATGGATTGAATGGAGGAGCTGTGGCTGCCCCATCCTCAAGGACACAGGGCCTTGGAGCACCCTGCTCCAGTGGAAGGGCTTGGAGCTGGAGGAGCTTTAAGGTCCCTTCATCCCAACCCATTCCATGGTGACCTCTTCCAGGGCTCTACAAGGAATACCGGATGCTGAAGCAGCAGAGACTGGAACCAGAGCCTGCCCAGTTTAACCCCTCCATCCAATCAGCAGCCCAGGAGCCTCCAGCCACAGAGCAGGTACTGGAGACAGCAATCCCTGTGCTCAGGAGATTCCCATGGGATGCTCTCTTCATCCCAAATGCTCTTCCTGCTCCCAAAAGATGCCATCAGAGGAGCTGGTGCCCTGCTTGTGGGTGCATCTGAGCTCACGTCCATGACAGAATTCCATGGGTTTGCATGGAAAGCTTTGGATGTGAGGCCTTTTGGGGATGCATCCATTGGGATTGAGCATTCCCAGTGTCCTTGCAGGTGCCGGATTCCGGCTCTTGGGGCTCACACCTCAACCGGCAACCGAAGGCGCCGCCACGCCGGAGCCCCCGCGTGCCCGAGGCCTTGGTGCAATCCTATGGGATGAAGCTGAAATCCAAGCTGGGAGCCACTGGGAAGGTCAGGATTGGTCACGGATTGAGGTTGGAGCCGCTTCTGAGCCTCTTTCCCCCCTCTTGGGGACCCCCAGCATCAAGGCCTCTTCCTTCCATGGCAATGAGCAAAGGGGGGGAGATGCTGGTGGTCCCCATGGTTGGATGGGGAGTGTTTCAGAGGAGGACCTGAGCCCTCTTTCTCCTTCCCTCCCCACACAGGAGACCCCATTGACCCCCCGGAGAACCCCAGCTCCCAGGAAGAGCCCGGTGATTCCCAAGCTCCGGAAGAGCCGCGACGCAGCCACGGTGCCGATGGAGCCATCCCTAAGGGAAGAAGCCAAAGCAGAAGATCTCCTCCTTCCCCCTTCGGTGGCAGGGCTGGCCCCCCTCATCCTGGCTGCGGGATCGAAGCCTTCCCAAGCTCCCCAAGCCAGGACAAGGTTCCAGGAGCTGAAGGAGACGCTGGTGCAGACCCTGGGCTCGCTGGATCCCGCCTGGCTCCAGAGGTGCCAAGGGGCACCCATGGGTGAAGGGACAAAGCCAGGCCCCATGCAGGAGGAGGAGCGAGGAGAAGCCGTTGGTGCCCCCCTGAAGCAAGAGGAAGCAAAGGGAGGAGGAGATACAGGGGGAGATTCCCATAGGAAAAGGCCACGTGGGGATGGGGGACAGGAGGCTCCGGCAAAGCTCCGGCGTTGCCACCAAGGCTCGGCCAAGGGAGCGCTTGGTGCTGGCAATGGGAGGAAGAAGAAGGAGAGCAAAGAGGAGGAAGAGGAGGAGAAGGAAGAGCAAAAGGAGCTCAGGAAGGTGATGGAGCCCTTGGAAAACCTCCTGGGAGAGGTGGAGGAGGAGGAGGAGAAGCCCAGATCCACCCACAAAGTCATCGCTGCCAGGTAGCACCCATTGGATCCAGCTCCAACCCCTTGCCATGGGGCAGGGACCCCTTCCACTGGAGCACTCCAAGCCCCTGTATCCAACCTGGCCTTGAGCACTGCCAGGGATGGGGCAGCCACAGCTTCTCCATTCAATCCATTCCCGTGTTCCATCACCCTCCCTCATGGGGGAGAACTTCATCCCAAGGTCCCATCTAATTCCTCCCTCTTCCAGTTGGACCCATTCCTCTTCATCCCATCCCTGCATCCCTCATCCCAAGCCCCTCTCCAGGTTCCCTGCAGCCCCTTTAGGCACTGGAGCTGCTCTAAGGTCTCCCCTTCAGGAGCCTTCTCTTCTCCAGGCTGCCCCAGCCCAGCTCTCTCAGCCTGGCTCCAGAGCATCCCAGTATCCCCATGAGCATCCCCACCACCTTCATCCCCCCGCAAAGGACCAGAAGATGGGGAGATGCCTCCTTCCGAGCCCTCTTGTGGGGCAGTCAATGAAGGGGGGAGTTCTCTGCTGTGTCCTGGGCGCAGGCAGGGATCTTCCTTCCCCACCTTCTTCTCCTTGCAGAGCATTCCCAAAGAGCAGAGGGAATTTTGTCCGGCTCAACCTGCGCAGTCGATCCCACGTCCGAGGCTTTGCCCTGCGAGGGAATCGCCTCCGTAAGCAGGTAAAGCCCAAGTGGGGACCCCCTGCATCCCCCCCATCCCACCAAGCTTCATCTCAGCCACTAAAAAACCCCAAGGTTCCTTTAGGATCTCCTCATTCGCATGGAATCCATTGGGATCCTATCCCAACACCGTTGCTCCATAGGCTTTGAGGAGTTCTGGGCATCCAGGGGTGGTCCAGAAGACTGGAGGGGAGGTTGATGGTGTCCCAAGAAGGGATCAGGCCCATCAGTCTCATGGGAAGGTTCCAGGAGGGATATCCTAAGGGAAAATCAGGAGATGGATCATGGATCCATGGAAACAGGGGTTTCCCCATCACCTCCTGATCAAGGTCAGGAACATCTGAGGGACTTGGTGAGATGCATCCATGGCTCCTGAGGGAAGTGGTGGATGAAGGGGCCACAATGGAGTTCCTGATGGCTGGAAAAGGGGGAGCAGACCCCCCATTGTATGAAGGAAGAGGCAGGGAATTACCTTGGTGCCCAACGGGATCACGGAGCACATCCTCCTGGAGACCCCCAAAACCCCAGATATCCAACGGGATCCACCATGGCTTTATGGATCCTCAAGGTGGAAACGTGACGTGGGCTGCTCCTGCCTTGCAGATGTGGAAGCAGAAGTGGCAGAAGAAGGCAAAGTGGTTGGGAGGAGGTGGATCCATGGACCGGAGCGCTGACGTCTGCTTCCGTTGTGGTGGGACGGGACACTGGGCATCGTCGTGCCAAGGCCAAGGTAATCATGGGATCATGGGATGGGATGGGATGGATCATCCACTTCCATGGACAGGGACCCCTTCCACTGGAGCAGGGTGCTCCAAGGCCCTGTGTCCTTGAGGATGGGGCAGCCACAGCTTCTCCATTCAATCCATTCCCGTGTCCCACCACCCTCACCATGAACTTCCCAAGATCCCATCTAACTCCTCCCTCTCCCATTGGAACCCATTCCTCCTCCTCCCATCCCTCCATCCCTTGTCCCAAGCCCTTCTCCATGTTTCCCAGAGCCCCTTTAGGCACTGGGAGCTGCTCTAAGGGCTCCTGGAGCTTCTCCTTTCCAGGCTCTGCCACCCTTGCTGAGGGTTGGCTCTGGATGCTGGATTATGGGATCGGCTTGGCACATCCATGGGCCAGGCTCGGATTCCCTCCTCCCTGGGGCTTCTCTCCCCTCTTTCCTTAAGGGTTTTTAGGGATAACTTCTGGAAGGGGGGGGAACCATGAGGCTGCTGCTTCCCATGGAGGTAAGCAAAGGAAAGGCCCCATTCCCAGCAGGAGCTGCCAAGGAGGTGGAGAAGAGCGGCCCTGCTCCGGAGGAAGAGGAGGAGGAGGAAGCTCCATTGCCCACGTTGGAGGAGGTGGCTCGGAGGACCAACAGCTTCTGCCCAGAGCTCTCTGGTGAGGCCCTGGCTTTGGGATGAGCCCATGGAGACGTGGAATGGTTTCCTTCATCCCAGAGGGATCGAACCGGGCTTTGGGCAGCTCGGGATGATGCTGGGGTGGGTTTGATCCAGGAGCCCCAATCTCCTGGTTGGAGGGGGGGTCCCAGGTCCCAGCTGCTGCCTTTGAACCCCAGCAGGGATTGGAGGCAGCAACGTGGAAAGATCCAATGGGATTCTGGAGGCAACCACTCACCTGGATGGATGGAGACCGGTGTATGAGCCACCAGCTCCACCAGCGCCCATGGAGCCCCTCTACAGCCTCGGACCAGAGGGGAAGGTGCAAGGTAGGGCTCCAAAGGATGCTCCAGCCATGGTGGGGTGGGTTGGGGGCCTCTGGTCCTCCCCTAAGCACGTGTGGTCCCCTATAGAGACCCCAAAGGAGGTGTTTGAAGCTCTGAGGGCTTTGGGCTACAGCTCCTTCCGGCCCGGCCAGGAGGTGGCCATCATGAGGATCCTCTCTGGTGGGTTTCCATCCTTCCTCCTCCTCCTCTTCCTCTCCATGAGCATGGGGAGCCCAAGTGATTGAGGTTGGCCCCAACGCCTTGGTTCTTCTTCCAGGTCTCTCCACCTTGGTGGTGTTGTCCACAGGGATGGGGAAGTCTCTTTGCTACCAGCTCCCCGCTTACCTCTACCACAAGCGCTCCAAGTGCATCACCTTGGTCATCTCCCCTCTGGTGTCCCTCATGGATGATCAGGTCGGGGGTCCCCAGTTCTCCCACCCCATTGGGGCTCAACCAGGATCGGGGTTAGGTGTGCCCAAGGCACCCTAGAATAGTGGAGGTGACTCGTTCCCTTTTCCAGGTCTCAGGACTTCCACGGTGCCTGAAGGCCGTCTGCATCCACTCCAACATGCCCAAATCCCAACGGGAAGCAGCGATGGAGAAGGTGAGAAACCCCAGCTCCTCCATGGAGAACCATGTGTCCTCCATGGCCCCTATGAGGGCCATCAACGGTGCCCCCACTCTATTCCCATGGGAGAACCTGCCGTTGAGCCGGATGGATCTCATGGACCCGGATGTCCCATAGGTGATGCAGGGCGACGTGCAGATCCTGCTGCTGTCCCCGGAAGCTCTGGTTGGTGGTGGTGGATCCAGAGGTGGATTCCTGCCCTCTGCAGACCGGCTCCCACCCGTGGCCTTCGCCTGCATCGATGAAGCCCATTGCGTCTCCGAGTGGTCCCACAACTTCCGGCCCTGCTACCTGCGCCTCTGCAAGGTGGGAGGAAGGGAGACCCCCATCCCAAAGGATGCTTGGGGATGCAGCTGGTGATCCAAGCTTTCCTCCCCTTCCCACCAGGTCCTCCGGGATCGCCTGGGTGTCCGCTGCTTCCTCGGGCTGACGGCGACGGCCACCTTGGCCACGGCGAGGGATGTGGTCCAGCACCTGGGAATGCCACCGGAGGAAGGGATAACGGTGCACTCGGCCGCTGTGCCACCAAACCTGCTCCTCTCCGTCTCCATGGACAGGGACAGGGATGAGGTAGGGATAAGGGAATGGGATTTGCTGCTGTGGTCAGGGATTCATGGGATGGGTTGGGTTGGACAGGACCGTAAAGCTCATCCAGCTCCAAGCCGTGCCATGGGCGGGGAGACCTTCCACTAGAGCAGGGTGATCCAAGCCCCTGTGCCCAACCTGGCCTTGAGCACTGCCAGGGATGGGACATCCCAAACTTCTCCATGCAACCTCTTCCAGTGTCCCACCGCCCTCATGGGGAAGAACTCCATCCCATCTAATTCCTCCCTCTTCCAGTTGGACCCGTTCCTCCTCATCCGATCCCTGCATCTCTCATCCCAAGCCCCTCTCCATGTTCCCTGCAGCCCCTTTAGGCACTGGAGCTGCTCTAAGGTCTCCCCTTCAGGAGTCTTCTCCAGGCTGCCCCAGCCCAGCTCTCTCAGCCTGGCTCCAGCATCTCCATGGCCTCCTCTGGCCTCTCTCCAACAGCTCCTCTAGGATGGAAGATCCCCCCCTTCTTCCCATGGGGACCTTCAGACCCTTTGGGATTGGGATTGCCCCATCCCTGGCAGTGTTCAAGGCCAGGTTGGACACAGGGGCTTGGAGCACCCTGCTCTAGTGGAAGGGGTCCCTGCCCGTGGCCCTGGAGGAGCTTGAAGGTGGCTCCCATCCCAACCCATTCCATGCTTCCCCATCCTCAGGCCTTGATCTCCCTGCTCCAAGGGGAACGTTTTGGCTCCCTGGACTCCATCATCGTCTACTGCACGCGGCGGGAGGAGACGGCTCGCATCGCGGCGCTCATCCGGACCTGCCTCCAGGGAACCCCGCTCAGGGATCCACAAGGGGAGGCTGCCCCAGGGAGGAAGGCCAAGGGTAGGTGCAAGGCATCGCTCCCCATTGGGAGATGGAGCCTGGAACGGGTGGATCCACAGTGGAACGGAGCCCAGAGAGCCCGGCTGGTGGATCCACAATGGGATAGAGCCTGGAATATCTCACTGGTGGATCCACAATGGAATAGAGCCTGGAATATCTCACCTGGTGGATCCACAATGGAATAGAGCCTGGAATATCTCACGGTGGTTGGTGGTGGTGTCAATGGAATAGAGCCTGGAATATCTCCTGGTGGATCCACAGTGGAATAGAGCCTGGAATATCTCACCTGGTGGATCCACAATGGAATAGAGCCTGGAATATCTCACCTGGTGGATCCACAATGGGGGTGTGGTGGATCCACAATGGAATAGAGCCTGGAATATCTCACTGGTGGATCCACAATGGAATAGAGCCTGGAATATCTCACTGGTGGATCCACAATGGAATAGAGCCTGGAATATCTCACTGGTGGATCCACAATGGAATAGAGCCTGGAATATCTCACTGGTGGATCCACAATGGAATAGAGCCTGGAATATCTCACTGGTGGATCCACAATGGAATAGAGCCTGGAATATCACTGGTGGATCACAATGGAACAGAGCCTGGAATATCTCACCTGGTGGATCCACAATGGAATAGAGCCTGGAATATCTCACCTGGTGGATCCACAATGGAATAGAGCCTGGAATATCTCACTGGTGGTCCACAATGGAATAGAGCCTGGAATATCTCACTGGTGGATCCACAATGGAATAGAGCCTGGAATATCTCACTGGTGGATCCACAATGGAATAGAGCCTGGAATATCTCACCTGGTGGATCCACAATGGAATAGAGCCTGGAATATCTCACTGGTGGATCCACAATGGAATAGAGCCTGGAATATCTCACTGGTGGATCCACAATGGAATAGAGCCTGGAATATCTCACCTGGTGGATCCACAATGGAATAGAGCCTGGAATATCTCACTGGTGGATCCACAATGGAATAGAGCCTGGAATATCTCACTGGTGGATCCACAGTGGAATAGAGCCTGGAATATCTCACTGGTGGATCCACAATGGAATAGAGCCTGGAATATCTCACTGGTGGATCCACAGTGGAATAGAGCCTGGAATATCTCACTGGTGGATCCACAATGGAATAGAGCCTGGAATATTACTGGGGATCCACAATGGAATGAGCCTGGAATATCTCACTGGTGGTTGCTGGTGGATCCACAATGGAATAGAGCCTGGAATATCTCACCTGGTGGATCCACAATGGAATAGAGCCTGGAATATCTCACCTGGTGGATCCACAATGGAATAGAGCCTGGAATATCTCACTGGTGGATCCACAATGGAATAGAGCCTGGAATATCTCACCTGGTGGATCCACAATGGAATAGAGCCTGGAATATCTCACTGGTGGATCCACAATGGAATAGAGCCTGGAATATCTCACCTGGTGGATCCACAATGGAATAGAGCCTGGAATATCTCACGTGGTGGATCCACAATGGAATAGGGCCTGGAATCTAACTGGTGCATCCACAATGGAATAGAGCCTGGAATATCTCACCTGGTGGATCCACGTTGGGATAGGAAATCCATAGGGAACGAGCTGTGCTTGTGGGAACGTTTCTGGCTCCATTGGCCACTCAAAGCCTGCTTTTAGTGCTCCTGAAGGCCTTGAGATCGGGTTTAGCCCCCATTGTCCACCTCAATGGGCTTCCTTCCTTCCCAATCCATGACCTGGGAGCCTTTCCTCTCCCTGGTACCCCTCGGATCCTGCCCCCCCATTTCCAAACCAACCAGAGCTTCACCACGCTCAGCAGCAACCAAAGAGCCCGTTCCTCTCCTCCCCATCGATCCCAACCCGGGGCAGGGTCTTCTCCTCATCCCACCCCCCCGATTCCATCCCCTTTTGGGGGTTTCATGATGGAAACCCCTCCTTGAAACCCATTCACGCCTCTCCCTCTTCTTCCTTCAGCCAAGAGGAGCCTCCACCACCGCTCCTCAATGGGCCTGGCCGATTCCTACCACGCCGGCCTCTCCGCCGCCGAACGGCGCCGCGTCCAGAGCCGCTTCATGAGCGGCCACCTCCGCGTCGTGGTGGCCACGGTGGCCTTTGGGATGGGGCTGGATAAGGCAGACGTGCGTGGGGTGATCCATTACAACATGCCCAAGAGCTTGGAGAGCTACGTGCAGGAGATCGGCCGCGCCGGGCGCGATGGGGCCGCCGCTCATTGCCACCTCTTCCTGGATCCGGAGGTACCATTGGATGCATGGAACGGGGTGAAGGGGTTCTCCTTGGGTCTTGGGGCTCTCCTTGACCAAGGTTGACCCTTGCTCTAACCAAGGGGGGGGACCTGCACGAGCTGCGGCGTCACATCTATGGGGACTCGGTGGACTTTGTCACCGTCAAGAGGCTGGTGCAGAAGGTTTTTGTGCCGTGCAAGTGCCGGGAGCTGCACCAGAAGCACCAAGAGGCCACCAAGGTGAGGAGGAACCTGCCCAAGGCGATGTGGTGGAAGGTGGTGGTGACATGGGGAAGAGAAGTGTGCTCCAGTTGGGAGCTGCCAATGGGACAGGGTGAGGCCATCACCGCTGGTCCCATTGGGATGCGGCTCTGGGAGGAAGGGGATGGGATGGGATGGGATGGGATGGGATGGGATGGGATGGGATGGGATGGGATGGGATGGGATGAGATGGGATGGATGGGATGAGATGGGATGGGATGAGATGGGATGGGATGAGATGGGATGGATGGGATGGGATGAGATGGGATGGGATGGATGGGATGGGATGGGATGGGATGGATGGGATGGGATGGGATGGGATGGATGGGATGGGATGAGATGGGATGGATGGGATGGGATGGGATGGGATGGGATGGATGGGATGGGATGGGATGGGATGGATGGGATGGGATGAGATGGGATGGATGGGATGGGATGGGATGGGATGGATGGGATGGGATGGGATGGGATGGGGCGCACCAGAGGTTGGGATGAGGCAGCTCTGGGGGGGTCACATCTTGTGTGAGGACCTCCCCGAGCAGTGGTGGTGGTGCCCATGGTGGGATGGGGCCCGGAGCCACCGGGGTGCTGGGATGCACCGAAAGGAAGCAGAGGAGAAGGACTTGGGGGGTGTTGGGTGGGGAGAAGCTCCTGAGGTCATCACTGGTGGGGGAACGCGGTGGGAGAGGCTTTGGTTGATGGTGGCCACGGTGGGGAGGTGGAGAGGAGAAGGGGAGACCTCAGGGTAGCCCCCAGTGCCTAAGGGGCTGCAGGGAACCTGGATTGGGGCTTTGGACATTGGATGGAGGGATGGGAGGAGGAGGAATGGATCCAAGTGGAAGAGGGAAGAGTTGGATGGGATCTTGGGGTGAAGTTCATCCCCATGAGGGTGGTGGGACACTGGAAGGGGTTGAATGGAGAAGCTGTGGCTGCCCCATCCCTGGCAGTGCCCCATGGGGCTTGGAGCACCCTGCTCTAGTGGAAGGTGTCCCTTCCCCTTGGCAGGGGTTGGAGCTGGATGAGCTTTAAGCTCCTTTCCAATGCGTTCCATGAGTCCATGAGCTCAGTTGAGGGAAGTGAGGGTGAGGCGAAGGACCCGGCCAGGAGAGCCATTGGGATGGTTGGGATGGTGTCCTCTCGCCGCCTCCATTGCAGGCTGGGGAGGTGGAAGATGCTGAGCTGGGTGAGCTCCTGCACGAAGAGGTGGGAGAGGAGGAGACCAGGACAAGGCAGAGCTGGCCCCGGGTGTGCTACAAGCACGAGCGAGCCATCCCCATCCAACCAACGGTGGAGGCCCTGGACCTGCGTGAGGAAGGTGATGGGGATACCCAGCCCTGGACCCCCCAGATCCCTTTGGGATCCTTCCAGCACCTCCTCAACCTCCTCTCCTGCAGCTATCGAGACCCTCCTGTGCTACCTGGAGCTTCACCCACAGCGCTGGTTGGAGGTGCTGCCTCCCACCTACTCCATGTGCCGGCTCCAGTGCTATGGAGGACCCCGGCAGCTCCGGGACGTGGCTCGGAGGTAGGAGCCCCCCATGGTGGCCACCAAGGCCGTGGGTTGTGCCAATGGGGCTCCAAACCATGGGGGGGGCCAACGTGGTTTCGGTGTCTCCTGGTCCTCAGCTCCCCCCCCGTCGCCGTGGTCCTGGCTCGGGAGCGCCTGGAGGGCAAGGAGCACGTCCAGAGCAGCTCCATGGAGTTCAATGTGGTCTCCTTGAGCGACTCCATGGGCTGGGAGGTGGTGCTGGTGAAGCGAGCCCTGCGCCAGCTCCAGTGGGACCCACGGCTGCGGAGAGGTGCGGGCGTCTGCCCGGGTTCCCTGCAAGGGGGGGCCAGGGAGGTGGCCTGGGCTTGGTGGGCTCCAGGTCTTGGTGGGCTCCAGGTCTTGATGAGGGCCAGGATGTGATGGGCTCCAGGTCTTGGTGGGCTCCAGGTCTTGGTGAGGGCCAGGTCTTGGTGGGCTCCAGATCATGATGGGCTTCAGGTCTTGATGAGGGCCTTGTCTTGGTGGGCTCCAGGTCTTGATGGGCTCCAGGTCTTGGTGGGCTCCAGGTCTTGGTGGGCTCCAAGTCTTGATGGGCTCCAGGTCTTGGTGGGCTCCAGGTCTTGGTGGGCTCCAGATCATGATGGGCTTCAGGTCTTGATGAGGGCCTTGTCTTGGTGGGCTCCAGGTCTTGATGGGCTCCAGGTCTTGGTGGGCTCCAGGTCTTGGTGGGCTCCAGGTCTTGGTGCGCTCCAGGTCTTGGTGGGCTCCAGGTCTTGGTGGGCTCTAGGTCTTGGTGGGCTCTAGGTCTTGGTGGGCTCCAGGTCTTGGTGGGCTCCAGGTCTTGGTGGGCTCTAGGTCTTGGTGAGGGCAAGATCTTGGTGGGCTCCAGGTCTTGGTGGGCTCCAGGTCCTGGTGGCTCCAGGTCTTGGTGGATATGACGTTTTGGTGGGTTGCAGGCTTTGGTGGGGTGCAAGTCTTGATGGGCTCCAGGTCTTGGTGGGCACCAGGTCTTGGTGGGCTCCAGGTCTTGGTGAGCATGAAGTCTTGATGGCCTTCAGATCTTGGCAAGGGCCAGGTCTTGGTGGGCTCCAGGTCTTGGTGGGCTCCAGGTCTTGGTGGGCTCCAGGTCCTGGTGGGCTCCAGGTCTTGGTGGGCTCCAGATCCTTGTTGGTCCCAAGCCTCTCTTGGTGCCTTCAGACGGCCGCACTGCTGGGACCAGCGGGGTCCTGGTGGAGTTTGGAGACCTCTCCTTCCACCTCCGCGTCTACGGCGACCTCAGCGACGAGGAGCTCGATTCCGTCTGCGACTTCCTCCACCAGAGAGTGGTGGCCAGGGAGAAGATGGCCCTTGGCCAGCTCCGGGCCTGCTTCCAGGCCTTCCAGAGGTGAGTGTGGCTGGAGAAGACCCCCAGAACCCTACAGAGCCCTGGCTTTGGTAGCCCCAGTGGTTGCCCATCCCTCCCAGTTTGGGAAGGAGAGAGGAAGAGGAGGAGGATGCTGATGCTGGGCTGCAGCGTGGCCTTCCAGACCCATGGCCCTCACCCTGTGCATGAGGAAGAGCAGAGGAGCTCCCGCTTGAAGGCTCTGCTCAGTGACTACTTTGAGAAGGAGCAGGTTGAGCGTGGCGAGGAGGAGGAGGATGAAGATGAAGATGAAGGTCTCCATGGTGCCAACGTGAGCGCATCCCCTTCCTCTTGGGGACCTCTCCGGGTCCCATGGCCCCATTGGGGATGAGGGGGAGGATGGATGTGACCTGTCCCCGTGTCCCCCACCAAGGGCCAGGTCTTGGTGGGCTCCAGGTCTTGGTGGACTCCAGATCATGGTGGGTGCCAGGTCTTGGTGGACTCCAGGTCTTAGTGGGGATGAGGGGGAGGATGGATGTGACCTGTCCCCGTGTCCCCTGTCCCCCACCAAGGGCCAGGTCTTGGTGGGCTCCAGGTCTTGGTGGACTCCAGATCATGGTGGGTGCCAGGTCTTGGTGGACTCCAGATCATGGTGGGTGCCAGGTCTTGGTGGACTCCAGGTCTTAGTGGGGATGAGGGGGAGGATGGATGTGACCTGTCCCCATGTCCCCCACCAAGGGCCAGGTCTTGGTGGGCTCCAGGTCTTGGTGGACTCCAGATCATGGTGGGTGCCAGGTCTTGGTGGACTCCAGGTCTTAGTGGGGATGAGGGGGAGGATGGATGTGACCTGTCCCCGTGTCCCCGTGTCCCCCACCAAGGGCCAGGTCTTGGTGGGCTCCAGGTCTTGGTGGGCTCCAGGTCTTAGTGGGGATGAGGGGGAGGATGGATGCGACCTGTCCCCATGTCCCCATGTCCCCATCCTCAGCTGCGGGATTGGGAGAGCCAGATCCGCGCCGACATCCGGCACTTCCTCGACATCCGCCGGGATGAGAAGTTCACCGGCAGAGCCATCGCCAGGATCTTCCATGGCATCGGTAGGGGAAGGGGAGGTTGGGATCGGGCTCTTCCCCTGCTTCTTTCCCCTCTTCCCAACCAGGCTCCTCTTCCCGGCAGGAAGCCCTTGTTTCCCTGCCCCGATCTACGGCCGTGACCGGCGCTTCTGGAGGAGGTATCTCTGCATGGACTTCCACCAGCTCGCCCGCATGGCCACCGAGGAGATCCTGGCCACCAGGTGAGGGCCAGGAGGAGCCCAAGCCTTGAGGGGCATCGCCCCTGAAGAACAGATCCTGGTGAGGATGCTGCCGGCGCTTCCTGCTTGAAGGACATCACCCGGGCCTTGTCCACCCCTTGAGGACCACGTCTCCGGGCACTGCCTCCACTCGGCTTGGGATTTTATATTGAGGAATTAATAAAACTCATGGATTTGAGCTGCCTCCTGCCTGTGTTACAATGGTTCATCCCTCCTCCATCCCTCCTCCATCCCTCCTCCATCCCTCCTCCATCCCTCCTCCTTCATCCCTCCTCCATCCCTCCTCCATCCCTCCTTCATCCCTCCTCCATCCCTCCTCCTCCTTCATCCCTCCTCCATCCCTCCTCCATCCCTCCTTCATCCCTCCTCCATCCCTCCTCCATCCCTCCTCCATCCCTCCTCCATCCCTCCTCCATCCCTCCTTCATCCCTCCTCCATGCCTCCTCCTCCATCCCTCCTCCATCCCTCCTCCATCCCTCCTCCATCCCTCCTTCATCCCTCCTCCATGCCTCCTCCTTCATCCCTCCTCCATCCCTCCTCCATCCCTCCTCCATCCCTCCTCCATGCCTCCTCCATGCCTCCTCCTCCATCCCTCCTCCATCCCTCCTCCATGCCTCCTTCATCCCTCCTCCATGCCTCCTCCTTCATCCCTCCTCCATCCCTCCTCCATCCCTCCTCCATCCCTCCTCCATCCCTCCTCCATGCCTCCTCCTCCATCCCTCCTCCATCCCTCCTCCATGCCTCCTTCATCCCTCCTCCTTCATCCCTCCTCCATCCCTCCTCCATCCCTCCTCCATCCCTCCTCCATCCCTCCTTCATCCCTCCTCCATCATCCCTCCTTCATCCCTCCTCCATCCCTCCTCCATGCCTCCTCCTTCATCCCTCCTCCATCCCTCCTCCATCCCTCCTCCTTCATCCCTCCTTCATCCCTCCTCCTTCATCCCTCCTTCATCCCTCCTCCTTCATCCCTCCTCCTCCTCCATCCCTCCTCCATCCCTCCTCCTCCTCCAGCCCCACCGGTCCCACTGCACCAGGCTCTTCCCTCCTCCTCCTCTTCCCTCCAGGTGTTCCAGTGGTGCCAAGCACACAGAGCACCGTGGAGGACTCTCCCGCAGGGTGCTGGTGGGATTCCATGGCCATGGTGGGCAGGGATGTGCATGGGGGGGGCACTGGGACCTCCTCCTGCCCCTCTCATGGTGCTGGCTGGGATGGACCTTGGAGATCCATGGGAGCCCCTTCACTGGAGCACGGTGCTCCAAGCCCCGTCCAACCTGGCCTGGATCAGTTCCAGTGACCCAGAGCTTCTCCATTCAACCCCTTCCAGTGTCCCAGCACCCTCATGGGGATGAACTTCACCCCAAGATCCCATCCAACTCCTTCCTCTTCCAATAGATCCATTCCTCCTCCTCCCATCCTGTATCCCTGGTCCAAAGCCCCAATCCAGGTTCCCTGCAGCCCCTTAGGCACTGGGGGCTACCCTGAGGTCTCCCCTTCTCCTCTCCACCTCCCCACCGTGGCCACCATCAACCAAAGCCTCTCCCACCGCGTTCCCCCACCAGTGATGACCTCAGGAGCTTCTCCCCACCCAACACCCCCCAAGTCCTTCTCCTCATCTCCCTTTCGGTGCACCCCAGCACCCCGGTGGCTCCGGGCCCCATCCCACCATAGGCACCACCACCACTGCTCGGGGAGGTCCTCACACAAGATGTGACCCCCCCCAGAGCTGCCTCATCCCAACCGCCAGTGTGCCCCATCCCATCACATCAACTCCATGGGGAGATGTCCCATGGAGACATCTCCATGGTGCTGGTGTCACCATCTCCTGAGCTCTGTCATGATGGGAGCATCACCACCATGAGCTCCTGAGCTCCATCCTCATGGGGTCATCACCATGGTGCTGGTGTCACCATCTCCTGAGCTCCATCTTGATGGGGGCATCGCCACCATGAGCTCCTGAGCTCCATCCTCATGGGGACATCACCATGGTGGTGGTGTCACCATCTCCTGAGCTCCATCTTGATGGGGGCATCGCCACCATGAGCTCCTGAGCTCCATCCTCATGGGGTCATCACCATGGTGCTGGTGCCACCATGGCCTCAGCTCCATCTTCATGAGGACATCACCACCATGACGTCCTCAGATCAATCGTGATGGGGAACATCACCATGGTGGTGGGGACATCATATCCTGATTTCCATCCTCATGGGGACATCACCACCATAAGCTCCTGAGCTCAATCTTGATGGGGACATCTCCATGGTGCTGTTGTCACCATCTCCTGAGCTCCATCTTCATGAGGACATCACCACCATGAGCTCCTGAGCTCCATCCTCATGGGGTCATCACCATGGTGCTGGTGCCACCATGTCCTGAGCTCCATCTTCATGAGGACATCACCACCGTGATGTCCTCAGATCAATCGTGATGGGGAACATCACCGTGGTGGTGGTGCCACCACCTCCTGATTTCCATCCTCATTGGGACATCTCCATGGTGCTGGTGTCACCATCTCCTCAGTTCCATCTTCATGGGAGCATCACCACCATGAGCTCCTGAGCTCCATCCTCATGGGGACATCTCCATGGTGCTGGTGTCACCATCTCCTCAGTTCCATCTTCATGGGAGCATCACCACCATGAGCTCCTGAGCTCCATCCTCATGGGGTCATCACCATGGTGGTGGTGTCATCATCTCCTGAGTTCCATCTTGATGGGAGCATCACCACCATGAGCTCCTGAGCTCCATCCTCATGAGGACATCACCACCATGAGCTCCTGAGCTCAGTCTTGATGGGGAACATCATGTCCTGAGCTCCATCTTGATGGGGACATCACCACCATGAGCTCCTGAGCTCCATCCTCATGGGGACATCACCATGGTGCTGGTGCCACCATTTCCTGAGCTCCATCTTGATGGAAGAATCACCACCGTGATGTCCTGAGCTCCACCTTCATCCTCATCCTCATCCCCATCCTCATCCTCCATCCTTGCCTCCATCTTCATCCTCCATCCCCATCCTCGTCCTCCATCCTCAGCCTCATCCTCATCCTCATCCCTGCATCCATGGGACCACCATGGGCCATGGTTCCTCTCGTGCTCCCCATCCTCATCCTCATGGTCCATTCTCATCTTCGTCCTCATCCCTGCATCCATGGATCCGCCATGGGACATGGTTCCTCTGGTGCTCCCCGTTCCCAGCCTCCATCCTCATCCTCATCCTCATCTTCATCCCTGCATCCATGGGACCCTGTGGGCCATGGTTCCTCTGGTGCTCCCCATCCTCATCCTCATGGTCCATCCTCATCCTCATCTTCATCCCTGCACCCATGGGACCACCGTGGGCCATGGTTCCTTTGGTGTTCACCCATCCTCATTCTCATCCTCATCCTCATCCTCATCTTCATCCCTGCATGCATGGGACCACGATGGGACATGGTTCCTCTGGTGCTCCCCATCCTCATCCTCATCCCTGCATCCATGGGACCGCCATGGGCCATGGTTCCTCTGCTGCTCCCCATCCTCATCCTCATGGTCCATCCTCATTTTCGTCCTCATCCCTGCATCCATGGGACCACCGTGGGCCATGGTTCCTCTGCTGCTCCCCATCCTCATCCTCATCTTCATCCCTGCATCCATGGGACCCTGTGGGACATGGTTAATCTGGTGCTCCCCATCCTCATCCTCATGGTCCATCCTCATCCTCATCTTCATCCCTGCACCCATGGGACCACCATGGGCCATGGTTCCTCTGGTGCTCCCCATCCTCATCCTCATCTTCATCCCTGCATCCATGGGACCCTGTGGGACATGGTTAATCTGGTGCTCCCCATCCTCATCCTCATGGTCCATCCTCATCCTCATCCTCATCCCTGCATCCATGGGACCACTGTGGGCCATGGTTCCTCTGGTGCTCCCCATCCTCATCCTCATCTTCATCCCTGCATCCATGGGACCACCGTGGGCCATGGTTCCTCTGCTGCTCCCCATCCTCATCCTCATCTTCATCCCTGCATCCATGGGACTGCCATGGGCCATGGTTCCTCTGGTGTTCACCCATCCTCATCCTCATCTTCATCCCTGCATCCATGGGACCCTGTGGGCCATGGTTCCTCTGGTGCTCCCCATCCTCATCCTCATCTTCATCCCTGCACCCATGGGACTGCCATGGGACATGGTTCCGCTGGTGTTCACCCATCCTCATCCTCATCTTCATCCCTGCACCCATGGGACCGCCATGGGCCATGGTTCCTCTGGTGCTCCCCATCCTCATCCTCATCCTCATCCCATGGGCAAGGGGAGGGCAATGGGGGAGTTAATGAGGAGGTAACGAGGCCGCTAATGAGGGGGTGTCTGTGATGGCAATTAACGAGTCATTAATGAGGGTCATTAAGGAGCTGGGTACCGAGGCGACTAATGAGGAGGGTGACTAATGAGGGCGGCAATGGGGTGAGCAACAGCGGGTAATGAGGAGGGTGAGGAGGGTATTAGGGAGGGTAATGAGATGGGGTCAGATATGGGGTCAGATATGGGGTGGGTTATGGGGTGGGTTATGGGGTAGGTTATGGGGTCAGTTATGGGGTCAGTTATGGGGTCAGATATGGGGTGGGTTATGGGGTTGGTTATGGGGTCAGTTATGGGGTCAGATATGGGGTCTGTTATGGGGTCAGTTATGGGGTGGGTTATGAGGTCAGTTATGGGGTCAGTTATGGGGTCAGATATGGGGTGGGTTATGGGGTTGGTTATGGGGTCAGTTATGGAGGGGGTTATGGGGTCAGTTATGGGGTGGGTTATGGGGTGGGTTATGGGGTCAGTTATGGGGTAGCTGGGGTCAGTTATGGGGTGGGTTATGGGGTCAGTTATGGGGTGGGTTATGGGGTAGGTTATGGGGTTGGTTATGGGATCAGTTATGGGGTAGGTTATGGGGTCGGTTATGGGGTGGGTTATGGGGTCAGTTATGGGGTCAGTTATGGGGTGGGTTATGGGGTGGGTTATGAGGTCAGTTATGGGGTGGGTTATGGGGTCAGTTATGGGGTGGGTTATGGGGTCAGTTATGGGGTGGGTTATGGGGTCAGTTATGGGGTGGGTTATGGGGTGGGTTATGAGGTCAGTTATGGGGTGGGTTATGGGGTCAGTTATGGGGTGGGTTATGGGGTGGGTTATGAGGTCAGTTATGGGGTGGGTTATGGGGTCAGTTATGGGGTGGGTTATGGGGTGGGTTATGGGGTGGGTTATGGGGTGGGTTATGGGGTGGGTTATGGGGTGGGTTATGGGGGGGGTTATGGGGTGGGTTATGGGGTGGGTTATGGGGTGGGTTATGGGGTTTATGGGGTCAGTTATGGGGTGGGTTATGGGGTGGGTTATGTGGTAGTTATGGGGTGGGTTATGGTGTGTTATGGGGTGGGTTATGGGGTCAGTTATGGGGTGGTTATGGGGTCAGTTATGGGGTGGGTTATGGGGTGGGTTATGGGGTAGTTATGGGGTCGGTTATGGGGTCAGTTATGGGGTGGGTTATGGGGTGGGTTATGGGGTCAGTTATGGGGTGGGTTATAGGGTCAGTTATGGGGTGGGTTATGGGGTCAGTTATGGGGTGGGTTATGGGGTCAGTTATGGGGTAGGTTATGGGGTCAGTTATGGGGTCGGTTATGGGGTGGGTTATGAGGTCAGTTATGGGGTGGGTTATGGGGTCAGTTATGGTGTTGGTTATGGGATGCTTTATGGGGCCAGTTATGGGGTCGGTTATGGGGTCAGTTATGGGGTCAGATATGGGGTCAGATATGGGGTCGGTTATGGGGTCAGTTATGGGGCAGGCAATGGGGCAGGAGGGTATTGGGGTGGTATCGGGTTAATGTAAGGGGGCAGGTAATGGGGGGGATGTGGGGCCGGGGTAACAGGGGTACTTGGGGGGTAACGGGGGGCTCACCTGGGAGCAGGATGGGCAATGGGGCAAGCAGTGGGGGGGGGTGATGGCCATGGGACGGGTGCGTGGGGCAGCAATGGGGCAGGTAATGGGGGTGCTTGGGATAGGAACAGGAGAGGTAATGGAAGGGCAATGGGGCGGTTAATGATATGCTAATGAGGTGTTAATGAGGCTGAGAGGGCAATGGGGCAGTTAATGTGGTGTTAATGAGGTCCATGGAGCATCACGAGGCCATGGAGCATCACAAGGCCATGGGGTATCACAAGGCCATGGGGCACCCCAAGGATATGGGGCACCGGGTCCCTGCTGTGGGTCTATGGGGCACCCCATGGCCATGGGGCACCGGGTCCCTGCTGTGGGTCCATGGGCACCCCATGGCCATGGGGCTTGTGGGGCCAGGCCCCAGTCTGGGGGTGCTGATGAAGCCCCCCCATAGGGATGAGGATGCTCTGGGTCCCATTCAATGTGGGGCATTGGGGTGTCCATAGGTGGTCATGGGGGGTGCAGAACCCCCAGTCCCCCCCCCACCCCCCCCAGCCCCATAACCCCCCTCCCCATATGGGACCCCCCACCCCATAGAGACCCCCAAGGGCTGATGTGGGGCGCGGGGACACCCATGGGTGCTGGTGGTAGCCCTTTATTATGGGGTCCAGGGGGACACTGGGGTCATGTCCCGCCCCCCAGGGGCTATGGGGCTCAATGGGGCTCAATGGGGCTCAATGGGGCTCAATGGGGCTCTATGGGGCTCTATGGGGCGCTGTTGGCATTAGGAGAACTCCTTGACGAACTTGGTGTAGAAGCTGCAGAGCTTCTCGAGCAGGACCTTGAGCTTCTCGATGGGGGGCAGGATCGTCATCCTGGGGGGCAGGGGCTGGTTGGGGGGCGCGGCGAGATGTGGGGCGCCCCCCAAGTGCCAGCTCTGCCCCACAGCAACCCCATTGGCTATCCAATAACTCCATTGTCCCAACACCCCATAGACCTTGTGTCCACCTCAACCACCATCAATGGCGGCTTGGTTGTAGGTCCAGTCCCATAGAAGGACCCCAAACATTGACCTCTGCCCCATAGCTCCGTGTCTCATCATTCCCAGCCCCATAGCACCACCTCTGCCCCACAACAACCGCCTTGTCCCTCATCCCACCTCCCCATAGACCTTGTGTCCACCTCAATGGCCACTGTCAATGGGGGCTTGGTTGTAGGTCCAGTCCCATAGAAGGACCCCAAACCTTTACCCCTGCCCCATAGCTCCGTGTCTCATCATTCCCAGCCCCATAGCACCACCTCTGCCCCACAGCAACCCCCTTGCCCCTCATCCACCACCCCATAGACTGCATCCACCAATGGGGGTTCAGTTGTGGGTCCAGCCCCACGGCGCCCCCTGGGGGCACGCACCGGAAGTGGAAGGTGCCCTCGCGCTGCCCGAAGCCGCTGCCCGGCACCAGGCAGATCCCGGTCTCCTCCAGCAGCCTCAGGCAGAAGAACATGTCCGGGGCCTGACCCACGGCCTATGGGGCAATGGGGGGGGGGCACTGAGCCCGGACCCACACTTGGGGGGCAGCAGCAGCAGGCACGGAGCGACCGCGGTCATCGTTGGACCTGGACCGCAGCCGTGACCCCATTCCCAGCTCCATCTCCCATCATTCCCATCCTACATCCCATGTCCATCACCCCCATCCCCATTGTCCATCATTCCCATTCCCACATCCCATGTCCCCCATTCCCAGCTCCACTTCCCATCATCCCCGTTCCCACATCCCATCTCCTTCACCCCAGCCCCATTGCCCATCATTCCCATCCCCATGTCCCATGTCCCCCATTCCCATGTCCATCATCCCTATTCCCACATCCCATGTCCCCCATTCCCATCTCCATTTCCCATCATTCCCATCCCACATCCCATGTCCATCACCCCCATCCCATCTCCATCATTCCCATTCCCACATCCCATGTCCCCCATTCCCATCTTCATCTCCCATCATCCCCATTCCCACATCCCATGTCCATCACCCCACATCCCATCTCCATCATCCCTATTCCCACATCCCATGTCCCCCATTCCCATCTCCATCTCCCATCATTCCCATCCCACATTTCCATCATTCCCATCCCACATCCCATGTCCATCATCCCAGCCCCACATTGTCCGTCATTCCCACATCCCATGTTCCCCATTCCCATCTCCATCTCCCATCATTCCCATCCCACATCCCATGTCCATCACCCCACATCCCATCTCCATCATTCCCATTCCCACATCTCCATGTCCCCCATTCCCACCTCCATTTCCCATCATTCCCATCCCACATCCCCTTTCCCTCATTCCCATCCCACATTTCCATCATTCCCATCCCACATCCCATGTCCATCACCCCCAGCCCCATTGTCCGTCATTCCCACATCCCATGACCCCATTCCCATCTCCATCTCCCATCATTCCCATTCCCACATCCCATGTTCCTCATTCCCACTTCCATTTCCCATCATTCCCATCCCCACGTCCCATGTCCCCCATTCCCATCTCCATTTCCCATCATTCCCATCCTACATCCCATGTCCCCCATTCCCATCTCCATCATCCCCATTCCCACATTCCCATGTCATTCCCATCTCATTCCCATCATTCCCATGCCATTCCCATGTCATTCCCATCTCATTCCCATCTCATTCCCATCATTCCCATGCCATTCCCATGTCCATCACCCCCAGCCCCATATTGTCCGTCATTCCCACATCCATTTCCCGTCATTCCCATTCCCACATATCCCTGTCCCCCATTCCCATCTCCATCTCCCATCATTCCCAATCCCACATCCCATGTCCATCAGTCCCATCCCACATTGTCCATCATTCCCCCATCCCATGTCCCCCATTCCCATCTCCATTTCTTATCATTCCCATCCCATATTCCCTTTCCCCCATTCCCACCTCCACTTCCCATCATTCCCATCCCACATCTAAATCTCCATCAGTCCCAAGCCCACATTGTTCCTCATTCCCATCTCCACTTCCCATCATTCCCATTCCCATTCCCATCATTCCCATCATTCCCACATCCCATTTCCCATCATTCCCATCATTCCCATTCCCATTCCCATCATTCCCATCATTCCCATCATTCCCATCATTCCCATTCCCATTCCCATCATTCCCATCATTCCAATTCCCACATCTCCATCTCCCACCATTCCCACATCCCATCATTCCCATCATTCCCACATTCCCATCATTCCCACCATTCCCATCATTCCTATTCCCACATTCCATTTCCCATCGTTCCCATTCCCACCTCCATTTCCCACCATTCCCATCCTACATCCCACGCCCATCACCCCCATCCCCACAGTGTCCATCACTCCCACATCTCCATGTCCCCCATTCCCATCATTTCCATTCCCACCTCCATCTCCCATCACTCCCATTCCCATTCCCACCATTGCAACCATCCCCATCCCCATCCCCATTCCCATCCCCTCTCCCTGTGCCCCTCACCGTGGCCTCGGTGCAGGCTCTCTCTGGCACTCGGATGCAGGGGAACGCGTACAGAGCTCCCTGTGCCCCATCCCCATCCCCATCCCCTCTCCCTGTGCCCCTCACCGTGGCCTCGGTGCAGGCTCTCTCTGGCAGTTGGATGCAGGGGAACGCGTACAGAGCTCCCTGTGCCCCATCCCCATCCCCATCCCCTCTCCCTGTGCCCCTCACCGTGGCCTCGGTGCAGGCTCTCTCTGGCACTCGGATGCAGGGGAACGCGTACAGAGCTCCCTGTGCCCCATCCCCATCCCCATCCCCTCTCCCTGTGCCCCTCACCGTGGCCTCGGTGCAGGCTCTCTCTGGCAGTTGGATGCAGGGGAACGCGTACAGAGCTCCCTGTGCCCCATCCCCATCCCCTCTCCCTGTGCCCCTCACCGTGGCCTCGGTGCAGGCTCTCTCTGGCACTCGGATGCAGGGGAACGCGTACAGAGCTCCCTGTGCCCCATCCCCATCCCCATCCCCTCTCCCTGTGCCCCTCACCGTGGCCTCGGTGCAGGCTCTCTCTGGCAGTTGGATGCAGGGGAACGCGTACAGAGCTCCCTGTGCCCCATCCCCATCCCCTCTCCCTGTGCCCCTCACCGTGGCCTCGGTGCAGGCTCTCTCTGGCAGTTGGATGCAGGGGAACGCGTACATCGCTCCCTGCACTGGGTTGCACCGGATCCCCTCGGTCCCGTTCAGCGCCTCCTGCGTCAGCCGGGCCTTGGCCGCCAGCGCCTGCAGCACCGCTGCCTTCTCCTGCGCCGCCGGGGGCACAACGGGGCCTCCCAGTCAATACCAGTACATCCCAGTACATCTCAATGCATCCCAGTGCATCCCGGTGCATCCCAGTGCATCTCAATGCATCCCAGTGCATCCCAATGCATCCCAGTGCATCCCAATGCATCCCAGTGCATCCCAGTGCATCTCAATGCATCCCAGTGCTTCCCAGTGCTTCCCAGGCCTTCCCAGTGAATCACAGTGCTTCCCAGTACATCTCAATGCATCCCAGTGCATCCCAGGCGGTCTCAATGCATCCCAGTGCATCCCAATGCATCCCAGTGCTTCCCAGTGAATCCCAGTGCTTCCCAGTGCATCCCAATGCATCCCAGTGCTTCCCAGTGCATCCCAGTGAATCCCAGTGCTTCCCAGTACATCTCAAAGTATCCCAGTGCTTCCCAGTACATCTCAAAGCATCCCAGTGCTTCCCAGTACATCCCAATGCATCCCAGTGCTTCCCAATGCATCCCAATGCATCCCAGTGCCTCCCAGTGAATCCCAGTGCATCCCAGTGCATCCCAGTGCATCCCAGTGCATCCCAGTGCATCCCAGTGCATCCCAGTGCATCCCAGTGCATCCCAGTGCATCCCAGTGCATCCCAGTGCATCCCAATGCATCCCAGTGCTTCCCAGTGAATCCCAGTGCATCCCAATGCATCCCAATGCATCCCAGTGCATCCCAGTGCTTCCCAGTGCATCCCAGGCCTTCCCAGTGAATCCCAGTGCATCCCAGTGCATCCCAATGCATCCCAGTGCATCCCAATGCATCCCAGTGCATCCCAGTGCATCCCAGTGCTTCCCAGTGCATCCCAGTGCATCCCGGTGCTTCCCAGTGCATCCCAATGCATCCCAGTGCATCCCATTGCATCCCAATGCATCCCAGTGCATCCCAGTGCACCCCAATGCATCCCAGTGCATCCCAGTGCATCCCATTGCATCCCAATGCATCTCGGTGCATCCCAGTGCATCCCAGTGCATCCCAATGCATCCCAGTGCATCCCAGTGCATCCCAGTGCATCCCAGTGCATCCCAGTGCATCCCAGTGCATCCCAGTACATGCTGGTGCATCTCAGTGCATCCCAGTGCATCCCCATTCCATCCCATCCTATTTAATCACATCACATTTTCCCATCCCATTTATCCCATCCCACCCATACTCATCCCATCCCATTCCATTTATCCCATCCCCATCCCATTCCATTTATCCCATCCCATGCCATGCCATCCCACCCCATCCCATTTAGCCCATCCCATTTATCCCATTTACCCTATCCCATTTATGCCATTTATCCAAGTTATCCCATCCCATATATCACAGTTATCCCAGATATCCCATTTATCCCATTGATCCCATTTACCCCATCCCATTTATGCCATTGATCCCATTGACCCCAGTTATCCCATTGATCCCATTTATCCCATCCCATTGGTCCCACTGATCCCATCCGAATCCAGTTATCCCATTTATCCCATATATCCCATTGATCCTATTGACCCCATCGATCCCAGTTATCCCATCCCATATATTGCAGTTATTGCATTTATCCCAGTTATCCCATTGATCCCATTCGATCCCATTGATCCCATTTATCCCATTTACCCCATCCCGTTGCTCCCATTGATCCCATCCAATGCCATGGATCCCACTCATCTCATTTATCCCATTTATCCCATTTACCCCATCCCATTGATCCCATTGATCCCAACAATCCCATCGATCCCATTTATCCCACATATCCCGTTGAACCCATTGATCTCATCCGATCCCATTGATCCCATCCAATCCCATTGATGAAATCGATCCCAGTTATCCCATTGATCCCATCCATCCTATTGATCCCATCCATCCCATTGATCCCATTGATCCCAGTTATCCCACTGATCCCATCCCATCCCATTGATCCCAACCCATCCCATCGATCCCATCCCATCGATCCCATCAATCCCATCCGATCCCATAAATCTCATCAATCCCACTGATCCCATCCCACAGATCCCATCAATCCCATCAATCCCATCTGATCCTACTGATCCCATCAATCCCATCGATCCCTTCAATCCCATCGATCCCCATCTATCCCATCTGATCCCATTGATCCCATCGATCCCATCCCATCCCATTGATCCCATCTGATCCCATTGATCCCACCTATCCCATCAATCCCATTGATCTTGTCCGATCCCATTGATCCCATCGATCCCATCTGATCCCACTGTTACCATCTATCCCATTGATCCCATTGATCCCAATCCAATCCCATTGATCCCATTGACCCCATTTACCCCTTCCTATCCATCCCATCTATCCCATTTATCCCATCTATCCCATTGATCCCATCTATCCCATTGATCCCATTGATCCCATCTGATCCCATCCATCCCATCCATCCCATCCTATCGATCCCATCTATCCCACTGATCCCATCCTATCAATCCCATCGATCCCATCCATCCCATTGATTGCATTGATCCCATCCATCCCATCCATCCCATCTTATCAATCCCATCCATCCCATCCATCCCATCCTATCTATCACATCCATCCCATCCATCCCATCCATCCCATCCCATCCATCCCATTGATCCCATCGATCCCATTGATCCCATCAAACCCATCCATCCCATCCATCCCATTGATCCCATCCCATCCATCCCACTGATCCCATCCCATTGATCCCACTGATCCCATCCATCCCACTGATCCCATCCATGCCATCCATCCCATTGATCCCATCCCATCCATCCCACTGATCCCATCCCACTGATCCCACTGATCCCATCCATCCCACTGATCCCATCCCATCCATCCCATTGATCCCATCCCATCCATCCCATCCCATCCATCCCATTGATCCCATCCATCCCATTGATCCCATCGAACCCATCCATCCCATTGATCCCATCCCATCCATCCCACTGATCCCATCCCATTGATCCCACTGATCCCATCTATCCCATTGATCCCATCCCATCCATCCCACTGATCCCACTGATCCCATCCATCCCACTGCTCCCATCCCGTCCATCCCATTGATCCCATCCCATCCCATCCATCCCACTGATCCCACTGATCCCATCCATCCCATTGATCCCATCCCATCCATCCCATCTCATCCATCCCACTGATCCCACTGCTCCCACTGATCCCATCCATCCCACTGATCCCATCCCATCCATCCCATTGATCCCATCCCATCCATCCCACTGATCCCACTGATCCCATCCATCCCATCCATCCCATTGATGCCATCCCATCCATCCCTCTGATCCCACTGATCCCATCCATCCCATTGATCCCATCCATCCCTCTGATCCCACCCCACTGACCCCACTGATCCCCCCCCCGCTCCCAGTCCCCCCCTCACCTCCACGTAGCGCTGGTACGAGGGCTCCCCGGGGCCGGGGGGGTGGAGCAGGGCCCCCAGCAGGATCTGCCCGGGCACGGGGGGGCAGAGGCGCACGGACACCACCTTGGAGAGCTCCTGCAGCACCCCCGGGTGCAGGTTCAGCACCTCCACGAACCCGGCCCGGAACCCGCACCTGGGGGGCACCGCGGCCGCTCAGACCCACACGGGGGGGCAGGGACCCACGGGAGCTTAGAGGGAGGGAGCCCAGGGGTGGGGATCTGGGGATAGGAACCCATAGGGAGGGAGCCATGGGTGGGAACCTATAGAGAGGGAGCCATGGGTGGGAACCTATAGAGAGGGACCCATGGATGAGGTCTGTAATAGAGACCCATAGAGAGGAACCCATAGGGAGGGACCCATGGATGGGAACCTATAGAGAGGGACCCATGGATGGGAACCTATAGAGAGGGACCCATGGATGGGAACCTATAGAGAGGGACCCATGGATGGGAACCTATAGAGAGGGACACACGGATGAGGTCTGTAATAGAGACCCATAGAGAGGAACCTACAGAGAGGGACCCATGGATGGGAACCTATAGAGAGGGAGCCATGGATGGGAACCTATAGAGAGGGACCCATGGATGGGAACCTATAGAGAGGGACCCATGGATGAGGTCTGTAATAGAGACCCATAGATAGGAACCTATAGAGAGGGACCCGTGGATGGGAACCTATAGAGAGGGACCCATGGTGGGCGATGGGGATCTGTAATAGGAACCCATAGGAGGGACCTGGTGGGAACCTATAGAGAGGGACCCGTGGATGGGAACCTATAGAGAGGGACCCATGGATGAGGTCTGTAATAGAGACCCATAGATAGGAACCTATAGAGAGGGACCCGTGGATGGGAACCTATAGAGAGGGAGCCATGGATGGGGTCTGTAATAGAGACCCATAGATAGGAACCTATAGAGAAGACCCCATGGATGGGACCCATGGATGGGGGCTGTGATGGAGACCTGTGCATTGGAACCTATAGAGAGGGACCCATGGATGGGGATCCCTGGATAGGAACCTCTAGAGAAGGACCCATGGGTGGGACCCATTGATGGGGGCTGTAATAGGGACCCAGAGATAGGAACCTATGGAGAGGGACCCATGGATGTGGTCTGTGATAGGGACCTATGGTTAGGAACCTATAGAGAGGAACCCATGGATGGGACACATGGATGGGGGCTGTGATGGGGACCTATGGATAGGAACCTACAGAGAGGGACCCATGGTGGGACTATAGAGAGGGATCCAGGGGTGGGACCCAGGGATGGGGGCTGTGATGGGGACCCATGGATGGGAACCTATAGAGAGGGACCCATGGATGGGACCCATGGATGGGGGCTGTGATGGGGACCCATGGATGGGAACCTACAGAGAGGGACCCATGGATGGGACCCATGGATGGGGGCTGTGATGGGGACCTGTGCATAGGAACCTATAGGGAGGGACCCATAGGTGGGACCCATGGATGGGGACCCACGGATAGGAACCCATAGAGAGGGACCCAGGGATGAGGTCTGTGATGGGGACCCAGCAAGAGACACACTCAAGGTGACACCAATGGATGGAGACCCATGGTGGCATCCCATGGACAGGAACCTATAGAGAGACCCACGAATGGGACCCATAGAATGAGGTCCATGAAGGGAACCCATAGACAGGAACCTACAGAGGCACCCATGGGGTGGGACCCATGGAGAGGAGCCTACAGAGAGGGAGCAATGGAGGGGACCCATGGATGGAGCTCCCTGGTGAGAACCAGACTCTAGGACCCGTGGATCCATGGCATCCCCATCCCCAACCCATGACATCCATGGGGCCATGGCATCCCCATCCCCAACCCATGACATCCATGGGGCCATGGCATCCCCATCCCCAACCCATGACATCCATGGGGCCATGGCATCCCCATCCCCAACCCATGACATCCATGGGGCCATGGCATCCCCATCCTTAATCTATGACATCCATGGGGTGGTGGCGTCATCTTCCCTATCCTTGGACCCATGGACCCATGACAACCCCATCATCAACCCATGACATCCATGGACCCACGGCATCCCCATCCCCAACCCATGACATCCATGGGGCCATGGCATCCCCATCCCCAACCCATGACATCCATGGGGTGGTGGCATCATCATCCCCACCCTTGCACCCATGGACCCACAGCGTCCCCATCCCTAATCCATGGCATCCATGGGGCCATGACAACCCTATCCCCAATCCATGGCATCCATGGGGTGGTGGCATCATCATCCCCATCCTTGGACCCATGGACCCACAGCATCCCCACCCCCAGTCCATGACACCCATGGACCCACAGCATCCCCATCCTGAACCCACAGCACCCATGGGGTGGTGGCATCATCATCCCTACCCTTGGACCCATGGACCCACAGCATCCCCATCCCTAATCCATGACACCCATGGACCCACAGCATCCCCATCCCTAATCCATGACATCCATGGGGTGGTGGCATCATCATCCCCACCCTTGAATCCACAGACCCACAGCATCCCCATCCCTAATCCATGACATCCATGGGGTGGTGGCATCATCATCCCTACCATTGCACCCATGGACCCACAGCATCCCCATCCCTAATCCATGACATCCATGGGGTGATGGCATCATCATCCCTACCCTTGCACCCATGGACCCACAGCATCCCCATCCCCAACCCATGACATCCATGGGGCCATGGCATCCCCATCCCCAACCCATGACATCCATGGGGTGATGGCATCATCATCCCCACCCTTGCACCCATGGACCCACAGCATCCCCATCCCCTGTCCATGACACCCATGGACCCACGGCATCCCCATCCTGAACCCATGGCATCCCTTGCGTGGTGGCATCAATAGGGCCATGATATCCCCATCCCCAACCCATGACATAAAAGGGTGGTGGCATCATCATCCCCAACCCATGACATCAATGGGGCCATGACATCCCCATCCCCAACCCATGACATCCATGGGGTGGTGGCATCATCATCCCCACCCTTGCACCCATGGACCCACAGCATCCCCATCCCTAATCCATGACATCCATGGGGTGATGGCATCATCATCCCCACCCTTGCACCCATGGACCCACAGCATCCCCATCCCTAATCCATGGCATCCATGGGGTGGTGGCATCATCATCCCTACCCTTGCACCCATGGACCCACAGCATCCCCATCCCTAATCCATGACATCCATGGGGTGGTGGCATCATCATCCCTACCATTGCACCCATGGACCCACAGCATCCCCATCCCTAATCCATGACATCCATGGGGTGGTGGCATCATCATCCCCACCCTTGCACCCATGGACCCACAGCATCCCCATCCCTAATCCATGACATCCATGGGGCCATGGCATCCCCATCCTGAACCCATGACATTAATAGGGTGGTGGCATCATCATCCCCACCATTGCACCCATGGACCCACAGCATCCCCATCCCTAACCCATGACATCCATGGGGTGGTGGCAACACCTTCTCCACCCTCCATCCCCACCCCAGCCCTAGGGCACCCCCAGCCCCATCCCCACCCCAGAGGCATCAGCAGTGGGGCAGTGACCCCCATGGGCACCACTCACTCGCCCGTGAAGCCCTTGGACAGGGAGTGGAAGGACGCCAGCTCCACCGTGTCCCTATAGGGCGGCCCCATCTCGAACAGCACCTTCTTGAAGGAGTGGAACACAGAGCCCTCTGCGTACACATTGTCCTGGTAGACCTGGGCGACGGCAATGGGGCGGTTGTTGGATGAGACCCCCAAGTGTGGGGCAGGGGTGCCCCTGGGCCCCACTCGCCTCATCGGCCATCAGGAAGAGCCGCTCCTCGTACGCGAACTTGATGACTTCCTCGATGCATTCGCGGCTCTGGACCTGCCCTGGGGGCATGGGGGGCATCGGTGGGGGGAGGTTGGGGGGCTCAGACCCACAGCTGGGTGGGATTCGGGGGGCCCAGCCCAGTCTATGGCTCCCATCCCAACCCATGGCTCCCATCCCCATGGCTCCCATCCCAACCCATGGCTCCCATCCCAACCCATGGCTCCCATCCCCAGGGGTCCCAGCCCAGTCTATGGCTCCCATTCCATCACCATGGATCCCATCACAACCTATGGATCCCAGCCCAGTCTTGTGGTCCCATCCCATCCCTGAGGTCCCATCCCAACCTATGGATCCCATCCCAATACATAGCTCCCATCTCCAGGGGTCCCATCCCAACCTATGGATCCCATCCCAATACATAGCTCCCATCTCCAGGGGTCCCATCCCAACCTATGGATCCCATCCCAATACATAGCTCCCATCTCCAGGGGTCTCATCCCAACCTATGGATCCCATCCCAATACATAGCTCCCATCTCCAGGGGTCCCATCCCAACCTAGGGATCCCATCCCATTCCTGGGATCCCAGCCCAGCCTATGGATCCCATCCTAATACACAGCTCCCATTCCATCCTATGGCTCCCATCTCCAGGCGTCCCATCCCAACCTGTGGATCCGGTTCCCATGTCTTGCATCCCATCCCCTGTCTCCCATCCCATGTCTCCTGTCCAATCCCATGGTTCCCATCCCCATGCCTCCTATCCCATCTCCCACCCCATCTCCAATCCCATGTCTCCTATCCCATCTCCCATCCCATCCCATGTCTGCCATCCTACGTCTCCCATCCCATCCCCATGTCTCCCATCTCACCCCATGTTGTCCATCCCACATCTCCCATCTCCATGTCTCCCATCCCATCCCATTCCATCTCCCATCCCTTCCCATGTCTCCTGTTGCATGTCTTCCATCCCATCCCACATCTCCCATCCCATCCCATGTATCCCATCCCATGTCTCCTCTCCCATGTCTCCCATCCCACCCCACGTCTCCCATCTCATGTCTCCTGTCCCATATCTCCCATCCCATCCCCTGCAGGTACCGGTGGGGTTCCCGGGGTTGATGACGCAGAGCACCCTGGGGCAGCCCCCCCATCCCATCCCCATCCCATCCCATCCCCATCCCATCCCATCCCCATCCCATCCCATCCCATCCCATCCCATCCCCATCTCCATCCCATCCCATCCCATCCCCATCCCATCCCATCCCCATCCCCATCCCCATCCCATCCCCATCCCATCCCATCCCATCCCCATCCCCCATCCCATCCCATCCCCATCCCCAACCCATCCCCCATCCCATCCCCATCCCCATCCCCATCCCCATCCCCCATCCATCCCATCCCATCCCCATCCCATCCCATCCCATCCCCATCCCATCCCCCATCCCATCCCCATCCCATCCCCCATCCCATCCCCATCCCCATCCCATCCCCATCCCATCCCCTGCAGGTACCGGTGGGGTTCCCTGGGTTGATGACGCAGAGCACCCTGGGGCAGCCCCGCTCCCTGCCCTCCCTCAGCGCCCTCCGCAGCTCGGCCGGGTCCAGCCCCCAGGCGCGCTCCTCGTCCAGGCGGTACCCGGCCTGCACCGCCTCCAGCTCCACGATGGCGGCCCCATAGAGCGGGTACTGGGGCACCGGTACCAGTACGGCCGTGCGGGACCGGCCCGAGCCCCACACCAGCAGCTTCAGGATCGTCTGCAACAGAGAGAGAGAGAGAGGGGACCCGTCAGAGGCAGCCGTGGGGGGAATGGGGACAGGGGGAAAGCAATGGGGGGAATGGGGACAGAGGGATGCACACAATGGGGCAATCCAGATGGGAAAGCAATAGGGAGGAAGTGCAAAATAGGATGCACGTGGAGGATGGGAGGGGAGTGGGAGACAATACACGCAATATCGAGAGGAATGGGAAGCAGTGGGAAAGAAGTCACGTGCAACAATGGGAGGAAGTGGAGGGAATGAGAACAATGGCGTGGGAGGAAGTGCGGAGGAATGAGAACAAGGAATACACACAATGAGGAGGAAAATGCGGACAATGGGGACAAGAGATACACGCAATAGGATGAGAAATGGCGACAATGAGAGGGAGGGAGAATGGGGAGACTCAGGATGCAGGCCGTGGGAGGAATGAGGAGGAATAAGGGAACGAGATACAAATAGGAAGACAATGGAGGATGGGGGGGAGTAGGAACGAGGATGGCGTTGGGAGGAAATGGCGGAGAATGGGGACAAGAGGATGGCGTGGGAGAATGAGGAAGTAGGGAACGAGATACACAATAGAAGGGAATTGGGAACAATGGGGAGGGATACACAATAGGATGGAGGATGGGAGGAAGTGGGGATGCACACAATAGGGGGGGAGTGGGGAGATGGGGACAAGAGATACACAATGGGGGGAATGGGGGGATGGGGTCAATGGGTTCAATGGGGGGAATGGGGGCAATGGGGAGAATGGGGGAAGAGAATGGCAATGGGGGGGAAGTGGGGGACATGGGGACAAGGGGGATGGACAATGGGGGCAATGGGGGGGAGTGGGGGTGGAATGGGGATGGGGGCAATGGGGGAAATGGGGGGGAATGGGGCAGGGAATGGGGACAATGGGGGGAATGGGGGGAATGGGGACGTGGGGGATGAGGGGAATGGGGAGCAATGGGGGGGAATGGGGACAGGGGAGGGCAATGGGGGGGGAATGGGGGGGAATGGGGCAGAGGGGAATGGGGAGCAATGGGGGGGAATGGGGGGAATGGGGACAGAGGGATGCACACAATGGGGGGGAATGGGGACAGAGGGATGCACACAGTGGGGGGGAATGGGGACAGAGGGATGCACAATGGGGAGCAATGGGGACAGAGGGGTGCACACAATGGGGGGGAATGGGGGGGAATGGGGACAGAGGGATGCACGCAATGGGGGGGAATGGGGGGGAATGGGGACAGAGGGATGCACGCAATGGGGGGGAATGGGGACAGAGGGATGCACAATGGGGAGCAATGGGGGGGAATGGGGGGAGTGGGCAGTGGGAGGGATGCACGCAATGGGGAGCAATGGGGGGGAATGGGGACAGAGGGATGCACGCAATGGGGGGGAATGGGGACAGAGGGATGCACGCAATGGGGGGGAAATGGGGACAGAGGGATGCACGCAATGGGGAGCAATGGGGGGGAATGGGGG